CCAAGAACGTAAAACCTGCAACAAGATTCTGTGGGAGACCATGCCCAAATCCTGAACTCGGTGTTTGTAGCGTGCGCCAAAAGCAGGAAGGCTAACTGAGTCGGCCCACACCCTCGTGGTAGCAACTTGCTGGGAAAGGGGCTTGGCATCCTGAGACGTGTAACTGCCCGCCGGAGCTTTTTCAAGTTCACGGGCACTGAGGAGCCTGAGTTTGGCTTGCCAGCGTCCTTTAGGCTTACAAACTCATCGGGCGCGGCATCTTCAGCCTGGCTATGAGCCATGGCTTGGGCTATGGCGATATATGCAAAGTCGCCTTCGCCATCGTTAGGCACGGCTTCCAAGTGACCCGTGAAAGGACCGACAGTTTTGCTGGCACGCTTCTTTTCAAGAATGCCACCAGCAAGGGTGCTAAAAGCATGCTTAGCCACTTGGCCAGTCTGAGAAACCTCATCGATCATTTCAGAGTCGTTACAATCATCAGCATCAAGCTGCGTATGTGCAACCTCGACGCAACCGTCATCGACAACAAGCGGGCCTTGCAGAGCACCTGACGTGGTGTGTGCAGGAGCCTTGGCTTCGGAAGGCTTACGGAAAGACTGGGATTTAGCAGGGCAAACAGAGATCCCAGAAGCAAAGGGCCAGCAGCTGTTACCCAAATCTACACCATCTGGGAGGCGTGCTCTTGAAGCTTCAGAAAATGAAAATGAAAATGTTCCTATGAGAACATAGCGATAGAAAGGTTTTCCTATGGACTTGAACCCCCCACCACAAAAAAATATCATTGCAAAATAACTACCGAAGAATGGGTCCCCAAAGCCGGAGATCATCAAACAATCTTGTTCAAGTGCTAGTTTTCACTCAAACCAAAGCGCCTGCGAAGTCGCGCAGTCTTCGCATTGGCCGCAAATGATTAAGGAGCTCACAAAAACAAAAAAGTGTTCACACAAATACCAGCCAAGAAAACAAAAGGAAAATACGTAGGCTATAAGAAGTCGAGAGGCCCAGAAGCCGAGAGGCCAAAAAGCCAAGAAGCCAAGGAAACCGAGAAGCCAAGCAAGAAGGCAGTATGCTCCAGGCCACGAGGCTGCAAAAACTCGAGAGGCCAAGGCCAAAAAGCCAACAAACCCAAGCCGAAAGACCGCGCACACACCCAGACCGCAAGAAAATATACGAATAATAATCCCAAAATAAATACGCTTTCAAATCTTACGTATGTTCTTTTACTGCAAAAATATTTGAAGCTGTCATAACGAACAACATTATCGCTTCTACAGAACACATGCAGCCACACCATGCTTCTTGAAAAGCGCGATTCTAGAATGAGGCCAAGGGTCATCTGAAACACTGCAAAAGTCAATCCTTGCATGGTGGTGCCGGACCACACTGCATCGAGATTGCGGAATATGTAAAGCCCTTGCCTGCACCCCACTCGTCAAAGGACCAAGTAAATCCGAACACCAGCCAAGTGATGGTGGTCAGTCCCATGGAGATGATGCTCATCATCATCATCATCATCATGGCATTGACGATATTACTGTCTCGCACTAGGCTGCGAATGCTAACCCAGGCGTCATGAACAGAACCAATGCACAGGACATGGCCATCCACGCGGTGTCACCGTTGTTGAGGCCCTCCATGTGTCCAAAGGCTTCCTGCCAGGCTTCTAGTTGTACCTCTGAAGTTGCCACGCGGCGCCCTTCAGCCAAACGGCGTGCAGCTCTCGCCGGAGTCTACATCTTGTACATACACACACCGCCCTGACCCTGCGAACAACAGAGCCGAAACCGGGCCCAGCATACCGGAAACACAGAGCAACACGAATCATACGCTTGTCAGTGTCATCGCAAATCGTCGCGATCGTGTGCGATTGTGTGTGGCTGTGTGTTGCGTACAACACCTGTGGAAGTGGTTGTCATGTATGAACCTCATTAAGAAACCCTGGTTCCATATGACCCTAGGATCCATAAAACCAACCCTAATCAAATCCCAAGAAATCAGGTCCCTGCGGCCCTGCGTTGCTGATTTCGACACCGCATGCGGAGCTCACTCAGGCTCGGTGGCTATACGTGCAAGTTGCCGAGCGGCTGCAGTCTTCGCTGCGTGACGTGCTGTCCTGTGCAGCACGTATAAAGCAAAGAAGGACCTCAAGACCAAGGCTGTCCTGTTCGAGAGACCCACTATACATGCGATACTCCATACCGCAAAAAACACGGCCTTTCGGCCAATTTGTCAACTGAGGTCTCAGACCTCGGTAGGCTTCTCTGCAGCGGAGCGGGCGGGTCCCGATCCGGTAAGCAGCGTGGGGGCCTCCTCGGGCTTGAAGCGCTGGGAGTGCTCGCCGAAGGCGTTCGGCTTGCCGGAGTTCTCGTTCTTGCCGTAGGCGACCTCAACTTGTCGCACACTCACAAACCCACCCAGGACGGTAGCGTAACAGAGACCCCGTGCACTTTCCAGTCCAACATGTCCTCAGAGATTTCAAACCCTGAACCCTACACCCCAGATATTTCTGAAGTTGCTTCAGCATCCTTGAAAGCCTTGAACCCTATCGGAAGGCCTCGGAGTGGCAATGGAGATCCACACCTTTCAGCGCCGCGTTAGATTCTGACAACACAACTAACATGATGTGTGGGCATGTTTAGGGCTTGGGGCTTCGGCGTGAGGGTGGAGGAGTTTAGGGTTTAGGGAACATCATCTATTCAAAAGGCTGTGCATGTCCGTGCAAAGCGAGTCATGTAAGGCCCTGTGCCTTCCAGCTCCTGCTCCTCGCTGACCCTCATGCGCATGACGAGGCGCATCAGGAAGAAGATCACCGCGGTCACGGCTGCGGAGTAGACCACACCGAAGGCTGCGCCGGCCAGGTTCTTCGCCAGCAGGAGCCCGTCGCCCCCGTAGATGAGGCCATCGCCTGTGTCGAAGAAGCCGCCAAGAATGGCACCTGCGAAGCCTCCCACGCCATGGAGAGAGAAGCAGTCCAGCGAGTCGTCCACCAAGTTCAGCTTCTTCAACCCACGAGCTGCGAAGACACAGCAGAGGGCTCCAATGGCGCCAACGCCAAGAGCGCCCAGGGGCTCAACGAAGCCGGCGCACGGGGTGATGTTCACCTTAGCAGAAGACGCACAAAGAATTGATGGACTTTGACTCTACTACATGGTGAGCCATCCAGTGTGTCGCGTTGTGTCGGCATGGAGACTTATAGAAACTGAGTGAGGCCATGGACAGACAAGCAGCGAGTCCAGCCACCGCACCTGACATGGCGCCGACGGATGTGGGAGCTCCATCGAGGATGCGCTCGACGGAGACCCACGTGATCATGGCGGCGGCCGCCGCAACATACGTGGTGGCGATGGCCAGGGCACAGTCGCCGTTAGCAGCGAAGGCGGAACCACCGTTGAAGCCGGTCCATCCCAGCCAAAGGATACCTCCGCCCAAGATGACGAAAGGCAGGTTGCTGGGGAAGGACTCGGAACGGTGCTTGCGCTCCCCCAGCAGTGATGCCAGAGCGATCGCTGAGGTGCCCGAGCTGATGTGAACGACAGTTCCACCGGCAAAGTCCTCAGAACGCGGGAGACAAAAACGAAAACTCAAGAGCAGAGGGCAGCTACGAGTACATGCTATCCGAATCTGCGGACTGGCAGTCCTTCGCGCCCATCTCGGCAATCCAGCCGCCGCCCCAGATCCAGTGGCAGAGGGGCACGTACACTGCAAGGACCCAGGCCACGATGAAGATAGCGTAAGCCGAGAAGCGGATGCGCTCGACCACGGCCCCAGAGATGATAGCAGCCGCTATGATTGCGAAGGTCCTTGCGCAGATACTTCTTCGAAAACATTTCAAGCTGTCATAAAGAACAACATTATCGCATCTACAGTCTACGGCCTACGGAGCATATGCAGCCACACAATGCTTCTTGAAAAGTGCGATTCTAGATTGAGGCCAAGGGTCATCTGAAACACTGCAAAGGTCATTCCTGGCATGGTGGTTCCGGACCACACCGCGTCGAGGTTGCGGAAGCCCACATAGGTAAAGCCCTTGCCTGCACCCCACTCGTCAAAGGACCAGGTAAATCCGAACACCAGCCAAGTGATGGTGGTCAGTCCCATGGAGATGATGCTCATCATCATCGTGTTGACGATATTACTGTCCCGCACCAGGCCGCCGTAAAAGAATGCCAACCCAGGCGTCATGAACAGAACCAATGCACAGGACATGGCCATCCACGCGGTGTCGCCGTTGTTGAGGCCCTCCATGTTTCCAAAGGGTTCCTACCAGGCTTCTACTTCTACCCTTGAAGTTGCCGCACGGCGCCCTTCAGCCAAGCGGCGGCCAAGCTCCGCTGCATCGTAGTAGAGCTCATGTGCTAAACTTGTCTGTGTGGTCCCCAAGCTGGGATTTCCTCCAGGCGCTAGCTCTCCCTTGCTGGCCCAGCTTTCGCTGGAGTCACGGTGCTCAAACCATTGTTTATTCATCTTGTATACACACCGTCCGGACCCCTTGCGAACTCTTTGCAACAACAACAACGGAACAGAAACAGCCACAACTGGCTCCAAAATAACGGAACACACACAGCAACACGCATCGTCTTTGTCAGGGTCATCGTTATCGCTGTCAATTGAGTGCAATTGTGTATGATTGTGTTGCGAGCAACACCTGCGGAAGTGGTTGTAATGGATGAACCTCATTAAGAAAGTATGAAACCCTGGTCCTATAACCCCGAAATATGAGGATCCGTTTAACGAACCCTAGTAAAGATGCAAGGTTTCTTAATCAGGTTCCTACATTACTGACTTTCGACGCCGCATGATCAGCTCACTCAGGCTCGGTGGCTACGTGCAAGTTGCCGAGCGGCTGCAGTCTTCGCTGCGTGAGGTGCTGTCCTGTGCAGCACGTATAAAGTAAAGAAGGACCTCAAGACCAAGGCTGTCCTGTTCGAGAGACCCACTATACATGCGATACTCCATACCGCAAAAAACACGGCCTGTCGGCCAATTTGTCAACTGAGGTCTCAGACCTCGGTAGGCTTCTCTGCAGCGGAGCGGGCGGGCCCCGATCCGGTAAGCAGCGTGGGGGCCTCCTCGGGCTTGAAGCGCTGGGAGTGCTCGCCGAAGGCGTTCGGCTTGCCGGAGTTCTCGTTCTTGCCGTAGGCGACCTCAACTTGTCGCACACTCACAAACCCACCCAAGACGGTAGCGTGACAGGGACCCAGAGCCCAGAGCACTTTCCAGTCCAACATGTCCTCAGAGATTGCCAACCCTACACCCTACACCCCCGATATTTCTGATGATGCTTCAGCATCCTTGAAGGCCTTGAAAGCCTTGAACCCTATCGGAAGGCCTCGGAGTGGCAATGGAGATCCACACCTTTCAGCGCCGCGTTAGATTCTGTCAACACAACTAACATAATGTGTGGGCATGTTTAGGGCTTGGGGCTTCGGCGTGAGGGTGGAGGAGTTTAGGGTTTAGGGAACATCATCTACTCAAAAGGCTGTGCATGTCCGTGCAAAGCGAGTCATGTAAGGCCCTGTGCCTTCCAGCTCCTGCTCCTCGCTGACCCTCATGCGCATGACGAGGCGCATCAGGAAGAAGATCACCGCGGTCACGGCTGCGGAGTAGACCACACCGAAGGCTGCGCCGGCCAGGTTCTTCGCCAGCAGGAGCCCGTCGCCCCCGTAGATGAGGCCATCACCTGTGTCGAAGAAGCCGCCAAGAATGGCACCTGCGAAGCCTCCCACGCCATGGAGAGAGAAGCAGTCCAGTGAGTCGTCCACCAGGTTCAGCTTCTTCAACCCACGAGCTGCGAAGACACAGCAGAGGGCTCCAATGGCGCCAACGCCGAGAGCGCCCAGGGGCTCCACGAAGCCGGCGCACGGGGTGATGTTCACCTTAGCGGAAGCACAAAGACTAGATGGACTACTCTACTACATGGTGAGCCATCCCAAAAAATAAGTGTGTCGGACTGTGTCGGCATGGGAACTTATAGAAACTGAGTGAGGCCATGGACAGGCAAGCAGCGAGTCCAGCCACCGCGCCTGACATGGCGCCGACAGATGTGGGAGCTCCATCGAGGATGCGCTCGACGGAGACCCACGTGATCATGGCTGCGGCCGCCGCAACGTACGTGGTGGCGATGGCCAGGGCACAGTCGCCGTTAGCGGCGAAGGCGGAACCCCCGTTGAAGCCGGTCCATCCCAGCCAAAGGATACCTCCGCCCAAGATGACGAAAGGCAGGTTGCTGGGGAAGGACTCGGAACGGTGCTTGCGCTCCCCCAGCAGTGATGCCAGAGCGATCGCTGAGGTGCCCGAGCTGATGTGAACGACAGTTCCACCGGCAAAGTCCTCAGAACACGGGAGACAAAAACGAAAACTCAAGAGCAGAGGGCAGCTACGAGTACATGCTATCCGAATCTGCGGGCTAGCAGTCCTTCGCGCCCATCTCGGCAATCCAGCCGCCGCCCCAGATCCAGTGGCAGAGGGGCACGTACACTGCAAGGACCCAGGCCACGATGAAGATAGCGTAAGCCGAGAAGCGGATGCGCTCGACCACGGCCCCAGAGATGATGGCAGCCGCTATGATTGCGAAGGTCCTTACGTCTATACGTTTACTTCGCAAAAACTGCAAGCTATCATGACGAACAACATTATCGCTTCTGCAGTCTACAGAGCACATGCAGCCACACGATGCTTCTTGAAAAGCACGATGCCAGATTGATGCCAAGGGTCATCTGAAACACTGCAAAGGTCATTCCTGGCATCGTGGTGCCGGACCACACCGCATCGAGGTTGCGGAAGCCCACATAGGTAAAGCCCTTGCCTGCACCCCACTCGTCAAAGGACCAGGTAAATCCGAACACCAGCCAAGTGATGGTGGTCAGTCCCATGGAGATGATGCTCATCATCATCGTGTTGACGATATTGCTGTCTCGCACCAGGCCGCCATAAAAGAATGCTAACCCAGGCGTCATGAACAGAACCAATGCACAGGACATGGCCATCCAGGCGGTGTCGCCGTTGTTGAGGCCCTCCATGTTTCCAAAGGATTGCTACCAGGCTTCTACTTCTGCCTGTTGCTGCGCGACGCCCTTCGGCCAAGCGGCGGCCAAGCTCTGCTGCATCGTGCTATAGCAGTGCACTGTAGTAGACTTCATGTGCAACATTTGTCTGTGTTGGTCGTCAAGCTGGGATTTCCGCCAGCTGCTGGCTCTCCCTTGCTGGCCCAGCTTTCGCCGGAGTCCCGGTGCTCAGACTAAAGTTTACACAGATTTTACACATCTTGTACACACACCGTCCGGACCCTCCGCAACAACAACGGAACAGAAACAGCCGCAACCAGGCCCAAAACAACGAAAACACAGAGCAACACGCATCGTCTTTGTCAGGATCACCGCTATCGTTGTCAATTGAGTGGACTTTGTGCGATTGTGTTGCGTGCAACACCTGTGGAAGCGGTTGTAATGGATGAACCTCATTAAGAAACTCTGGTCCCATATAACCCTAGGAATATAACGAACCCGAATCAAATCCCAAGAAATCAGGTTCCTACATTACTGACTTTCGACACCGCATGCGGAGCTCGCTCGGGCTCGGCGGCTATACGAGTAAGTTGCCGAGTGGCTGCAGTCTTCGCTGCGTGACGTGCTGTCCTGTGCAGCACGTATAAGTAAACAAGGACCTCAAGACCAAGGATGTCCTGTTCGAGAGACCCACTATACATGCGATACTCCATACCGCAAAAAACACGGCCTTTTCGGCCAATTCGCCAACCGAGGTCTCAGACCTCGGTAGGCTTCTCTGCCGCGGAGCGGGCGGGTCCCGATCCCGTAAGCAGCGTTGGGGCCTCCTCGGGCTTGAAGCGCTGGGAGTGCTCGCCGAAGGCGTTCGGCTTGCCGGAGTTCTCGTTCTTGCCGTAGGCGACCTCAACTTGTCGCACACTCACAAACCCACCCATACGGTAGCGTAACAGAGACACAGAGCCCAGAGCACTTTCCAATCAAACACGTCCTCAGACATTGCCAACCCTAAACCCTACACCCCAGATATTTCTGGAGATGCTTCAGCATCCTTGAAATCCTTGAACCCTATCGGAAGGCCTCGGAGTGGCAATGGAGATCCACACCTTCCAGCGCCGCGTTAGATTCAATCAACATAGTGTCTCTGGACATGTTTAGGGCTTAGGGCTTAGGGTTGAGGAGCTCAGGGGTTTAGGGAACATCATCTACTCAAAAGGCTGTGCATGTCCGTGCAAAGCGAGTCATGTAAGGCCCTGTGCCTTCCAGCTCCTGCTCCTCGCTGACCCTCATGCGCATGACGAGGCGCATCAGGAAGAAGATCACCGCGGTCACGGCTGCGGAATAGACCACACCGAAGGCTGCGCCGGCCAGGTTCTTCGCCAGCAGCAGCCCGTCGCCCCCGTAGATGAGGCCATCGCCTGTGTCGAAGAAGCCGCCAAGAATGGCACCTGCGAAGCCTCCCACGCCATGCAGAGAGAAGCAGTCCAGTGAGTCGTCCACCAGGTTCAGCTTCTTCAACCCACGAGCCGCGAAGACGCAGCAGATGGCTCCAATGGCACCAACGCCGAGAGCGCCCAGGGGCTCCACGAAGCCGGCGCACGGGGTGATGTTCACCTTAGCGGAAGCACAAAGACTTGATGGACTACTCTACTACATGGTGAGCCATCCCAAAAAATAAGTGTGTCGCACTGTGTCGGCATGGGAACTTATAGAAACTGAGTGAGGCCATGGACAGGCAGGCAGCGAGTCCAGCCACCGCGCCTGACATGGCGCCGACAGATGTGGGAGCTCCATCGAGGATGCGCTCGACGGAGACCCACGTGATCATGGCTGCGGCCGCCGCAACGTACGTGGTGGCGATGGCCAGGGCACAGTCGCCGTTAGCGGCGAAGGCGGAACCACCGTTGAAGCCGGTCCATCCCAGCCAAAGGATACCTCCGCCCAAGATGACGAAAGGCAGGTTGCTGGGGAAGGACTCGGAACGGTGCTTGCGCTCCCCCAGCAGTGATGCCAGAGCGATCGCTGAGGTGCCCGAGCTGATGTGAACGACAGTTCCACCGGCAAAGTCCTCAGAACGCGGAAGACAAAAACGAAAACTCAAGAGCAGAGGGCAGCTACGAGTACATGCTATCCGAATCTGCGGACTAGCAGTCCTTCGCGCCCATCTCGGCAATCCAGCCGCCGCCCCAGATCCAGTGGCAGAGGGGCACGTACACTGCAAGGACCCAGGCCACGATGAAGATAGCGTAAGCCGAGAAGCGGATGCGCTCGACCACGGCCCCAGAGATGATGGCAGCCGCTATGATTGCGAAGGTCCTTACGTCTATACGTTTACTTCGCAAAAACTGCAAGCAGTCATGACGAACAACATTATCGCTTCTGCAGTCTACAGAGCACATGCAGCCACACGATGCTTCTTGAAAAGCACGATTCCAGATTGATGCCAAGGGTCATCTGAAACACTGCAAAGGTCATTCCTGGCATCGTGGTGCCGGACCACACCGCATCGAGGTTGCGGAAGCCCACATAGGTAAAGCCCTTGCCTGCACCCCACTCGTCAAAGGACCAGGTAAATCCGAACACCAGCCAAGTGATGGTGGTCAGTCCCATGGAGATGATGCTCATCATCATCGTGTTGACGATATTGCTGTCTCGCACCAGGCCGCCATAAAAGAATGCTAACCCAGGCGTCATGAACAGAACCAATGCACAGGACATGGCCATCCAGGCGGTGTCGCCGTTGTTGAGGCCCTCCATGTTTCCAAAGGATTGCTACCAGGCTTCTACTTCTACCTGTTGCTGCGCGACGCCCTTCGGCCAAGCGGCGGCCAAGCTCTGCTGCATCGTGCTATAGCAGTGCACTGTAGTAGACTTCATGTGCAGAATTTGTCTGTGTTGGTCGTCAAGCTGGGATTTCCGCCAGCTGCTGGCTCTCCCTTGCTGGCCCAGCTTTCGCCGGAGTCCCGGTGCTCAGACTAAAGTTTACACAGATTTTACACATCTTGTACACACACCGTCCGGACCCTCCGCAACAACAACGGAACAGAAACAGCCGCAACCAGGCCCAAAACAACGAAAACACAAAGCAACACACATCGTCTTTGTCAGGATCACCGCTATCGTTGTCAATTGAGTGGACTTTGTGCGATTGTGTTGCGTGCAACACCTGTGGAAGCGGTTGTAATGGATGAACCTCATTAAGAAACTCTGGTCCCATATAACCCTAGGAATATAACGAACCCGAATCAAATCCCAAGAAATCAGGTTCCTACATTACTGACTTTCGACACCGCATGCGGAGCTCACTCGGGCTCGGCGGCTATACGAGTAAGTTGCCGAGTGGCTGCAGTCTTCGCTGCGTGACGTGCTGTCCTCTGCAGCACGTATAAGTAAACAAGGACCTCAAGACCAAGGATGTCCTGCTCGAGAGACCCACTATACATGCGATACTCCATACCGCAAAAAACACGGCCTTTTCGGCCAATTCGCCAACCGAGGTCTCAGACCTCGGTAGGCTTCTCTGCCGCGGAGCGGGCGGGTCCCGATCCGGTAAGCAGCGTTGGGGCCTCCTCGGGCTTGAAGCGCTGGGAGTGCTCGCCGAAGGCGTTCGGCTTGCCGGAGTTCTCGTTCTTGCCGTAGGCGACCTCAACTTGTCGCACAGTCACAAACCCACCCATACGGTAGCGTAACAGAGACACAGAGCCCAGAGCACTTTCCAGTCAAACACGTCCTCAAACATTGCCAACCCTAAACCCTACACCCCAGATATTGCTGAAGATGCTTCAGCATCCTTGAAATCCTTGAACCCTATCGGAAGGCCTCGGAGTGGCAATGGAGATCCACGCCTTTCAGCGCCGCATTAGATAGCTTTCGGGTTTGGGGTTTAAGGTTGAGGGTTTAGGGTTAAGGTTAAGGCTGTGCGTGGCTGTGTGCTTCTTCGTGCGAGTCATGTAAGGCCCTGTGCCTTCCAGCTCCTGCTCCTCGCTGACCCTCATGCGCATGACGAGGCGCATCAGGAAGAAGATCACCGCGGTCACGGCTGCGGAATAGACCACACCGAAGGCTGCGCCGGCCAGGTTCTTCGCCAGCAGGAGCCCGTCGCCCCCGTAGATGAGGCCATCGCCTGTGTCGAAGAAGCCGCCAAGAATGGCACCTGCGAAGCCTCCCACGCCATGCAGAGAGAAGCAGTCCAGTGAGTCGTCCACCAGGTTCAGCTTCTTCAACCCACGAGCCGCGAAGACGCAGCAGATGGCTCCAATGGCACCAACGCCGAGAGCGCCCAGGGGCTCCACGAAGCCGGCGCACGGGGTGATGTTCACCTTAGCGGAAGCACACAGACTTGATGGACTACTCTACTACATGGTGAGCCATCCCGAAAAACAAGTGCGTCGCACTGTGTCGGCATGGGAACTTATAGAAATTGAATGAGGCCATGGACAGGCAAGCAGCGAGTCCAGCCACTGCGCCTGACATGGCGCCGACAGATGTGGGAGCTCCATCGAGGATGCGCTCGACGGAGACCCACGTGATCATGGCCGCGGCCGCCGCAACGTACGTGGTGGCGATGGCCAGGGCACAGTCGCCGTTGGCGGCGAAGGCGGAGCCGCCGTTGAAGCCGGTCCATCCCAGCCAAAGGATACCTCCGCCCAAGATGACGAAAGGCAGGTTGCTGGGGAAGGACTCGGAACGGTGCTTGCGCTCCCCCAGCAGTGATGCCAGAGCGATCGCTGAGGTGCCCGAGCTGATGTGAACGACAGTTCCACCGGCAAAGTCCTCAGAACGCGGGAGACAAAAACGAAAACTCAAGAGCAGAGGGCAGCTACGAGTAAAAGCTATCCGGATCTGCGGACTAGCTGTCCTTCGCACCCATCTCGGCAATCCAGCCGCCGCCCCAGATCCAGTGGCAGAGGGGCACGTACACTGCAAGGACCCAGGCCACGATGAAGATAGCGTAAGCCGAGAAGCGGATGCGCTCGACCACGGCCCCAGAGATGATAGCAGCCGCTATGATTGCGAAGGTCCTTACGTCTATACGTTTACTTCGCAAAACTGCAAGCTGTCATGACGAACAACATTATCGCTTCTGCAGTCTACAGAGCACATGCAGCCACACGATGCTTCTTGAAAAGCGCGATTCCAGATTAAGGCCAAGGGTCATCTGAAACACTGCAAAGGTCATTCCTGGCATCGTGGTGCCGGACCACACAGCATCGAGGTTGCGGAAGCCCACATAGGTAAAGCCCTTGCCTGCACCCCACTCGTCAAAGGACCAGGTAAATCCGAACACCAGCCAAGTGATGGTGGTCAGTCCCATGGAGATGATGCTCATCATCATCGTGTTGACGATATTACTGTCCCGCACCAGGCCGCCATAGAAGAATGCTAACCCAGGCGTCATGAACAGAACCAATGCACAGGACATGGCCATCCACGCAGTGTCGCCGTTGTTGAGGCCCTCCATGTTTCCAAAGGGTTCCTATCAGGCTTCTACTTCTACCTGTTGCTGCGCGACACCCTTCGGCCAAGCGGCGGTCAAGCTCTGCTGCATCGTGCTATAGCAGTGCACTGTAGTAGACTTCATGTGCAAAATTTGTCTGTGTTGGTCGCCAAACTGGGATTTCCTCCAGCTGCTAGCTCTCCCTTGCTGGCCCAGCTTTCGCCGGAGTCACTGTGCTCGTACTATAGTTTACACGGAATTACACATCTTGTACACACACCATCCGGACCCTCCGCAACAACAACGGAACAGAAACAGCCGCAACCAGGCCCAAAAGAACGGAAACACAGAGAAACACGCATCGTCTTTGTCAGGATCACCGCTATCGTTGTCAATTGAGTGGGCTTTGTGCGATTGTGTTGCGTGCAACACCTGTGGAAGCGGTTGTAATGGATGAACCTCATTAAGAAACCCTGGTCCCATATAACCCTAGGAATATAACGAACCCGAATCAAATCCCAAGGAATCAGGTTCCTACATTACTGATTTTCGACACCGCATGCGGAGCTCACTCGGGCTCCGCGGCTATACGAGTAAGTTGCCTAGTGGCTGCAGTCTTCGCTGCGTGACGTGCTGTCCTGTGCAGCACATATAAGTAAACAAGGACCTCAAGACCAAGGATGTCCTGTTCGAGAGACCCACTATACATGCGATACTCCATACCGCGAAAAACACGGCCTTTTCGGCCAATTCGCCAACCGAGGTCTCAGACCTCGGTAGGCTTCTCTGCCGCGGAGCGGGCGGGTCCCGATCCGGTAAGCAGCGTTGGGGCCTCCTCGGGCTTGAAGCGCTGGGAGTGCTCGCCGAAGGCGTTCGGCTTGCCGGAGTTCTCGTTCTTGCCGTAGGCGACCTCTTGTCGCACACTCGCAAACCCACCCAAGACGGTAGCGTAACAGGGACCCAGAGCCCAGAGCACTTTCCAGTCAAACACGTCCTCAAACATTGCCAATCCTAAAACCTACACCCCAGATATTGCTGAAGATGCTTCAGCATCCTTGAAATCCTTGAACCCTATCGGAAGGCCTCGGAGTGGCAATGGAGATCCACACCTTCCAGCGCCGCATTAGATAGCTTTCGGGTTTGGGGTTTAAGGTTGAGGGTTTAGGGTTAAGGTTAAGGCTGTGCGTGGCTGTGTGCTTCTTCGTGCGAGTCATGTGAGCCCCTGTGCCTTCCAGCTCCTGCTCCTCGCTGACCCTCATGCGCATGACGAGGCGCATCAGGAAGAAGATCACAGCGGTCACGGCTGCGGAATAGACCACACCGAAGGCTGCGCCGGCCAGGTTCTTCGCCAGCAGGAGCCCGTCGCCCCCGTAGATGAGGCCATCGCCTGTGTCGAAGAAGCCGCCAAGAATGGCACCTGCGAAGCCTCCCACGCCATGCAGAGAGAAGCAGTCCAGTGAGTCGTCCACCAGGTTCAGCTTCTTCAACCCACGAGCCGCGAAGACGCAGCAGATGGCTCCAATGGCACCAACGCCGAGAGCGCCCAGGGGCTCCACGAAGCCGGCGCACGGGGTGATGTTCACCTCAGCGGAAGCACAAAGACTTGATGGACTACTCTACTACATGGTGAGCCATCGCAAAAAACAAGTGCGTCGCACTGTGTGGGCATGGGAACTTATAGAAATTGAATGAGGCCATGGACAGGCAAGCAGCGAGTCCAGCCACCGCGCCTGACATGGCGCCGACGGATGTGGGAGCTCCATCGAGGATGCGCTCGACGGAGACCCACGTGATCATGGCCGCGGCCGCCGCAACGTACGTGGTGGCGATGGCCAGGGCACAGTCGCCGTTGGCGGCGAAGGCGGAGCCGCCGTTGAAGCCGGTCCATCCCAGCCAAAGGATACCTCCGCCCAAGATGACGAAAGGCAGGTTGCTGGGGAAGGACTCGGAACGGTGCTTGCGCTCCCCCAGCAGTGATGCCAGAGCGATCGCTGAGGTGCCCGAGCTGATGTGAACGACAGTTCCACCGGCAAAGTCCTCAGAACGCGGGAGACAAAAAACGAAAACTCAAGAGCAGAGGGCAGCTACGAGTAAAAGCCATCCGAATCTGCGGACTAGCTGTCCTTCGCACCCATCTCGGCAATCCAGCCGCCGCCCCAGATCCAGTGGCAGAGGGGCACGTACACTGCAAGGACCCAGGCCACGATGAAGATAGCGTAAGCCGAGAAGCGGATGCGCTCGACCACGGCCCCAGAGATGATAGCAGCCGCTATGATTGCGAAGGTCCTTACGTCTATACGTTTACTTCGCAAAAGCTGCAAGCTGTCATGACGAACAATATTATCGCTTCTGCAGTCTACAGAACACATGCAGCCACACGATGCTTCTTGAAAAGCGCGATTCCAGATTAAGGCCAAGGGTCATCTGAAACACTGCAAAGGTCATTCCTGGCATCGTGGTGCCGGACCACACAGCATCGAGGTTGCGGAAGCCCACATAGGTAAAGCCCTTGCCTGCACCCCACTCGTCAAAGGACCACGTAAATCCGAACACCAGCCAAGTGATGGTGGTCAGTCCCATGGAGATGATGCTCATCATCATCGTGTTGACGATATTACTGTCCCGCACCAAGCCACCATAAAAGAATGCTAACCCAGGCGTCATGAACAGAACCAATGCACAGGACATGGCCATCCACGCAGTGTCGCCGTTGTTGAGGCCCTCCATGTTTCCAAAGGGCCAAAGGGTTCCTACCAGGCTTCTACTTCTACCTGTTGCCACGCGACGCCCTTCGGCCAAGTGGCGGCCAAGCTCTGCTGCATCGTGCTATAGCAGTGCACTGTAGTAGACTTCATGTGCAAAATTTGTCTGTGTTGGTCGCCAAACTGGGATTTCCTCCAGCTGCTAGCTCTCCCTTGCTGGCCCAGCTTTCGCCGGAGTCACTGTGCTCGTACTCTAGTTTACACGGAATTACACATCTTGTACACACACCATCCGGACCCTCCGCAACAACAACGAAACCGAAACAGCCGCAACCGGGCCCAGAATAACGGAAACGAGGAGAAACACGAATCGTCTTTGTCAGGATCACCGCTATCGTTGTCAATTGAGTGGATTTTGTGCGATTGTGTTGCGTGCAACACCTGTGGAAGCGGTTGTAATGGATGAACCTCATTAAGAAACCCTGGTCCCATATGACCCTAGGAATATAACGAACCCGAATCAAATCCCAAGGAATCAGGTTCCTACATTACTGACTTTCGACACCGCATGCGGAGCTCACTCGGGCTCCGCGGCTATACGAGTAAGTTGCCGAGTGGCTGCAGTCTTCGCTGCGTGACGTGCTGTCCTGTGCAGCACGTATAAGTAAACAAGGACCTCAAGACCAAGGATGTCCTGTTCGAGAGACCCACTATACATGCGATACTCCATACCGCAAAAAACACGGCCTTTTCGGCCAATTCGCTAATCGAGGTCTCAGACCTCGGTAGGCTTCTCTGCCGCGGAGCGGGCGGGTCCCGATCCGGTAAGCAGCGTTGGGGCCTCCTCGGGCTTGAAGCGCTGGGAGTGCTCGCCGAAGGCGTTCGGCTTGCCGGAGTTCTCGTTCTTGCCGTAGGCGACCTCTTGTCGCACACTCGCAAACCCACCCAAGACGGTAGCGTAACAGGGAGCCAGAGCCCAGAGCACTTTCCAGTCAAACACGTCCTCAAACATTGCCAACCCTAAACCCTACACCCCAGATATTGCTGAAGATGCTTCAGCATCCTTGAAATCCTTGAACCCTATCGGAAGGCCTCGGAGTGGCAATGGAGATCCACGCCTTTCAGCGCCGCATTAGATAGCTTTCGGGTTTGCAAGTGTTTAAGGTTGAGGGTTTATAGGGTTAAGGCTGTGCGTGGCTGTGTGCTTCTTCGTGCGAGTCATGTAAGGCCCTGTGCCTTCCAGCTCCTGCTCCTCGCTGACCCTCATGCGCATGACGAGGCGCATCAGGAAGAAGATCACCGCGGTCACGGCTGCGGAATAGACCACACCGAAGGCTGCGCCGGCCAGGTTCTTCGCCAGCAGGAGCCCGTCACCCCCGTAGATGAGGCCATCACCTGTGTCGAAGAAGCCGCCAAGAATGGCACCTGCGAAGCCTCCCACGCCATGCAGAGAGAAGCAGTCCAGTGAGTCGTCCACCAGGTTCAGCTTCTTCAACCCACGAGCCGCGAAGACGCAGCAGATGGCTCCAATGGCACCAACGCCGAGAGCGCCCAGGGGCTCCACGAAGCCGGCGCACGGGGTGATGTTCACCTTAGCGGAAGCACAAAGACTTGATGGACTACTCTACTACATGGTGAGCCATCCCAAAAAACAAGTGCGTCGCACTGTGTCGGCATGGGAACTTATAGAAACTGAATGAGGCCATGGACAGGCAAGCAGCGAGTCCAGCTACCGCGCCTGACATGGCGCCGACAGATGTGGGAGCTCCATCGAGGATGCGCTCGACGGAGACCCACGTGATCATGGCCGCGGCCGCCGCAACGTACGTGGTGGCGATGGCCAGGGCACAGTCGCCGTTGGCGGCGAAGGCGGAGCCGCCGTTGAAGCCGGTCCATCCCAGCCAAAGGATACCTCCGCCCAAGATGACGAAAGGCAGGTTGCTGGGGAAGGACTCGGAACGGTGCTTGCGCTCCCCCAGCAGTGATGCCAGAGCGATCGCTGAGGTGCCCGAGCTGATGTGAACGACAGTTCCACCGGCAAAGTCCTCAGAACGCGGGAGACAAAAACGAAAACTCAAGAGCAGAGGGCAGCTACGAGTAAAAGCTATCCGGATCTGCGGACTAGCTGTCCTTCGCACCCATCTCGGCAATCCAGCCGCCGCCCCAGATCCAGTGGCAGAGGGGCACGTACACTGCAAGGACCCAGGCCACGATGAAGATAGCGTAAGCCGAGAAGCGGATGCGCTCGACCACGGCCCCAGAGATGATAGCAGCCGCTATGATTGCGAAGGTCCTTACGTCTATACGTTTACTTCGCAAAAACTGCAAGCTGTCATGACGAACAACATTATCGCTTCTGCAGTCTACAGAGCACATGCAGCCACACGATGCTTCTTGAAAAGCACGATGCCAGATTGATGCCAAGGGTCATCTGAAACACTGCAAAGGTCATTCCTGGCATCGTGGTGCCGGACCACACCGCATCGAGGTTGCGGAAGCCCACATAGGTAAAGCCCTTGCCTGCACCCCACTCGTCAAAGGACCACGTAAATCCGAACAGCAGCCAAGTGATGGTGGTCAGTCCCATGGAGATGATGCTCATCATCATCGTGTTGACGATATTGCTGTCTCGCACCAGGCCACCATAAAAGAATGCTAACCCAGGCGTCATGAACAGAACCAATGCACAGGACATGGCCATCCACGCGGTGTCGCCGTTGTTGAGGCCCTCCATGTTTCCAAAGCGTTCCTACCAGGCTTCTACTTCTACCTGTTGCTGCACGACGCCCTTCGGCCAAGCGGCGGCCAAGCTCTGCTGCATCGTGCTATAGCAGTGCACTGTAGTAGACTTCATGTGCAAAATTTGTCTGTGTTGGTCGCCAAACTGGGATTTCCGCCAGCTGCTAGCTCTCCCTTGCTGGCCCAGCTTTCGCCGGAGTCACTGTGCTCGTACTCTAGTTTACACGGAATTACACATCTTGTACACACACCATCCGGACCCTCCGCAACAACAACAACGGAACCGAAACAGCCGCAACCGGGCCCAGAATAACGGAAACGAGGAGAAACACGAATCGTCTTTGTCAGGATCACCGCTATCGTTGTCAATTGTGTGCGATGGTGTGCGTGTGTGTTGCGTGCAACACCTGTGGAAGCGGTTGTAATGGATGAACCTCATTAAGAAACCCTGGTCCCATATGGTCCCATATAACCCTAGGAGTATAACGAACCCGAATCAAATCCCAAGAAATCAGGTTCCTACATTACTGACTTTCGACACCGCATGCGGAGCTCACTCGGGCTCGGCGGCTATACGAGTAAGTTGCCGAGTGGCTGCAGTCTTCGCTGCGTGACGTGCTGTCCTGTGCAGCACGTATAAGTAAACAAGGACCTCAAGACCAAGGATGTCCTGTTCGAGAGACCCACTATACATGCGATACTCCATACCGCAAAAAACACGGCCTTTTCGGCCAATTCGCCAACCGAGGTCTCAGACCTCGGTAGGCTTCTCTGCCGCGGAGCGGGCGGGTCCCGATCCGGTAAGCAGCGTGGGGGCCTCCTCGGGCTTGAAGCGCTGGGAGTGCTCGCCGAAGGCGTTCGGCTTGCCGGAGTTCTCGTTCTTGCCGTAGGCGACCTCAACTTGTCGCACACTCACAAACCCACCCAAGACGGTAGCGTAACAGAGACCCAGAGCCCAGAGCACTTTCCAGTCAAACACGTCCTCAAACATTGCCAACCCTAAACCCTACACCCCAGATATTGCTGAAGATGCTTCAGCATCCTTGAAATCCTTGAACCCTATCGGAAGGCCTCGGAGTGGCAATGGAGATCCACACCTTTCAGCGCCGCATTAGATAGCTTTCGGGTTTGCAAGTGTTTAAGGTTGAGGGTTTATAGGGTTAAGGCTGTGCGTGGCTGTGTGCTTCTTCGTGCGAGTCATGTAAGGCCCTGTGCCTTCCAGCTCCTGCTCCTCGCTGACCCTCATGCGCATGACGAGGCGCATCAGGAAGAAGATCACCGCGGTCACGGCTGCGGAATAGACCACACCGAAGGCTGCGCCGGCCAGGTTCTTCGCCAGCAGGAGCCCGTCGCCCCCGTAGATGAGGCCATCGCCTGTGTCGAAGAAGCCGCCAAGAATGGCACCTGCGAAGCCTCCCACGCCATGCAGAGAGAAGCAGTCCAGTGAGTCGTCCACCAGGTTCAGCTTCTTCAACCCACGAGCCGCGAAGACGCAGCAGATGGCTCCAATGGCACCAACGCCGAGAGCGCCCAGGGGCTCCACGAAGCCGGCGCACGGGGTGATGTTCACCTTAGCGGAAGCACAAAGACTTGATGGACTACTCTACTACATGGTGAGCCATCCCAAAAAATAAGTGTGTCGCACTGTGTCGGCATGGGAACTTATAGAAATAGAGTGAGGCCATGGACAGGCAAGCAGCGAGTCCAGCCACCGCGCCTGACATGGCGCCGACAGATGTGGGAGCTCCATCGAGGATGCGCTCGACGGAGACCCACGTGATCATGGCTGCGGCCGCCGCAACGTACGTGGTGGCGATGGCCAGGGCACAGTCGCCGTTAGCGGCGAAGGCGGAACCACCGTTGAAGCCGGTCCATCCCAGCCAAAGGATACCTCCGCCCAAGATGACGAAAGGCAGGTTGCTGGGGAAGGACTCGGAACGGTGCTTGCGCTCCCCCAGCAGTGATGCCAGAGCGATCGCTGAGGTGCCCGAGCTGATGTGAACGACAGTTCCACCGGCAAAGTCCTCAGAACGCGGGAGACAAAAACGAAAACTCAAGAGCAGAGGGCAGCTACGAGTAAAAGCTATCCGGATCTGCGGACTAGCTGTCCTTCGCACCCATCTCGGCAATCCAGCCGCCGCCCCAGATCCAGTGGCAGAGGGGCACGTACACTGCAAGGACCCAGGCCACGATGAAGATAGCGTAAGCCGAGAAGCGGATGCGCTCGACCACGGCCCCAGAGATGATAGCAGCCGCTATGATTGCGAAGGTCCTTACGTCTATACGTTTACTTCGCAAAAACTGCAAGCTGTCATGACGAACAACATTATCGCTTCTGCAGTCTACAGAGCACATGCAGCCACACGATGCTTCTTGAAAAGCACGATGCCAGATTGATGCCAAGGGTCATCTGAAACACTGCAAAGGTCATTCCTGGCATCGTGGTGCCGGACCACACCGCATCGAGGTTGCGGAAGCCCACATAGGTAAAGCCCTTGCCTGCACCCCACTCGTCAAAGGACCAGGTAAATCCGAACACCAGCCAAGTGATGGTGGTCAGTCCCATGGAGATGATGCTCATCATCATCGTGTTGACGATATTGCTGTCTCGCACCAGGCCACCATAAAAGAATGCTAACCCAGGCGTCATGAACAGAACCAATGCACAGGACATGGCCATCCACGCGGTGTCGCCGTTGTTGAGGCCCTCCATGTTTCCAAAGCGTTCCTACCAGGCTTCTACTTCTACCTGTTGCTGCACGACGCCCTTCGGCCAAGCGGCGGCCAAGCTCTGCTGCATCGTGCTATAGCAGTGCACTGTAGTAGACTTCATGTGCAAAATTTGTCTGTGTTGGTCGCCAAACTGGGATTTCCGCCAGCTGCTAGCTCTCCCTTGCTGGCCCAGCTTTCGCCGGAGTCACTGTGCTCGTACTCTAGTTTACACGGAATTACACATCTTGTACACACACCATCCGGACCCTCCGCAACAACAACAACGGAACCGAAACAGCCGCAACCGGGCCCAGAATAACGGAAACGAGGAGAAACACGAATCGTCTTTGTCAGGATCACCGCTATCGTTGTCAATTGTGTGCGATGGTGTGCGTGTGTGTTGCGTGCAACACCTGTGGAAGCGGTTGTAATGGATGAACCTCATTAAGAAACCCTGGTCCCATATGGTCCCATATAACCCTAGGAGTATAACGAACCCGAATCAAATCCCAAGAAATCAGGTTCCTACATTACTGACTTTCGACACCGCATGCGGAGCTCACTCGGGCTCGGCGGCTATACGAGTAAGTTGCCGAGTGGCTGCAGTCTTCGCTGCGTGACGTGCTGTCCTGTGCAGCACGTATAAGTAAACAAGGACCTCAAGACCAAGGATGTCCTGTTCGAGAGACCCACTATACATGCGATACTCCATACCGCAAAAAACACGGCCTTTTCGGCCAATTCGCCAACCGAGGTCTCAGACCTCGGTAGGCTTCTCTGCCGCGGAGCGGGCGGGTCCCGATCCGGTAAGCAGCGTGGGGGCCTCCTCGGGCTTGAAGCGCTGGGAGTGCTCGCCGAAGGCGTTCGGCTTGCCGGAGTTCTCGTTCTTGCCGTAGGCGACCTCTTGTCGCACACTCACAAACCCACCCAAGACGGTAGCGTAACAGGGACCCAGAGCCCAGAGCACTTTCCAGTCAAACACGTCCTCAAACATTGCCAACCCTAAACCCTACACCCCAGATATTGCTGAAGATGCTTCAGCATCCTTGAAATCCTTGAACCCTATCGGAAGGCCTCGGAGTGGCAATGGAGATCCACGCCTTTCAGCGCCGCATTAGATAGCTTTCGGGTTTGCAAGTGTTTAAGGTTGAGGGTTTATAGGGTTAAGGCTGTGCGTGGCTGTGTGCTTCTTCGTGCGAGTCATGTAAGGCCCTGTGCCTTCCAGCTCCTGCTCCTCGCTGACCCTCATGCGCATGACGAGGCGCATCAGGAAGAAGATCACAGCGGTCACGGCTGCGGAATAGACCACACCGAAGGCTGCGCCGGCCAGGTTCTTCGCCAGCAGGAGCCCGTCACCCCCGTAGATGAGGCCATCGCCTGTGTCGAAGAAGCCGCCAAGAATGGCACCTGCGAAGCCTCCCACGCCATGCAGAGAGAAGCAGTCCAGTGAGTCGTCCACCAGGTTCAGCTTCTTCAACCCACGAGCCGCGAAGACGCAGCAGATGGCTCCAATGGCACCAACGCCGAGAGCGCCCAGGGGCTCCACGAAGCCGGCGCACGGGGTGATGTTCACCTTAGCGGAAGCACAAAGACTTGATGGACTACTCTACTACATGGTGAGCCATCCCAAAAAATAAGTGTGTCGCACTGTGTCGGCATGGGAACTTATAGAAATAGAGTGAGGCCATGGACAGGCAAGCAGCGAGTCCAGCCACCGCGCCTGACATGGCGCCGACAGATGTGGGAGCTCCATCGAGGATGCGCTCGACGGAGACCCACGTGATCATGGCTGCGGCCGCCGCAACGTACGTGGTGGCGATGGCCAGGGCACAGTCGCCGTTGGCGGCGAAGGCGGAGCCGCCGTTGAAGCCAGTCCATCCCAGCCAAAGGATACCTCCGCCCAAGATGACGAAAGGCAGGTTGCTGGGGAAGGACTCGGAACGGTGCTTGCGCTCCCCCAGCAGTGATGCCAGAGCGATCGCTGAGGTGCCCGAGCTGATGTGAACGACAGTTCCACCGGCAAAGTCCTCAGAACGCGGGAGACAAAAACGAAAACTCAAGAGCAGAGGGCAGCTACGAGTAATTACATGCTATCCGAATCTGCGGACTAGCAGTCCTTCGCGCCCATCTCGGCAATCCAGCCGCCGCCCCAGATCCAGTGGCAGAGGGGCACGTACACTGCAAGGACCCAGGCCACGATGAAGATAGCGTAAGCCGAGAAGCGGATGCGCTCGACCACGGCCCCAGAGATGATAGCAGCCGCTATGATTGCGAAGGTCCTTACGTCTATACGTTTACTTCGCAAAAACTGCAAGCTGTCATGACGAACAATATTATCGCTTCTGCAGTCTACAGAGCACATGCAGCCACACGATGCTTCTTGAAGAGTGCGGTTCCAGATTGATGCCAAGGGTCATCTGAAACACTGCAAAGGTCATTCCTGGCATCGTGGTGCCGGACCACACCGCATCGAGGTTGCGGAAGCCCACATAGGTAAAGCCCTTGCCTGCACCCCACTCGTCAAAGGACCAGGTAAATCCGAACACCAGCCAAGTGATGGTGGTCAGTCCCATGGAGATGATGCTCATCATCATCGTGTTGACGATATTACTGTCCCGCACCAGGCCGCCGTAAAAGAATGCTAACCCAGGCGTCATGAACAGAACCAATGCACAGGACATGGCCATCCACGCAGTGTCGCCGTTGTTGAGGCCCTCCATGTTTCCAAAGCGTTCCTACCAGGCTTCTACTTCTACCTGTTGCCACGCGACGCCCTTCGGCCAAGTGGCGGCCAAGCTCTGCTGCATCGTGCTATAGCAGTGCACTGTAGTAGACTTCATGTGCAAAATTTGTCTGTGTTGGTCGCCAAGCCGGGATTTCCTCCAGCTGCTGGCTCTCCCTTTCTGGCCCAGCTTTCGCCGGAGTCACTGTGCTCGTACTATAGTTTACACCGAATTACACATCTTGTACACACACCATCCGGACCCTCCGCAACAACAACGGAACAGAAACAGCCGCAACCAGGCCCAAAATAAAGAAAACACAGTGCAACACGCATCGTCTTTGTCAGGATCACCGCTATCGTTGTCAATTGAGTGGATTTTGTGCGATTGTGTTGCGTGCAACACCTGTGGAAGCGGCTGTAATGGATGAACCTCATTAAGAAACCCTGGTCCCATATAACCCTAGGAATATAACGAACCCGAATCAAATCCCAAGGAATCAGGTTCCTACATTACTGACTTTCGACACCGCATGCGGAGCTCACTCGGGCTCGGCGGCTATACGAGTAAGTTGCCGAGTGGCTGCAGTCTTCGCTGCGTGACGTGCTGTCCTGTGCAGCACGTATAAGTAAACAAGGACCTCAAGACCAAGGATGTCCTGTTCGAGAGACCCACTATACATGCGATACTCCATACCGCAAAAAACACGGCCTTTTCGGCCAATTCGCCAACCGAGGTCTCAGACCTCGGTAGGCTTCTCTGCCGCGGAGCGGGCGGGTCCCGATCCGGTAAGCAGCGTTGGGGCCTCCTCGGGCTTGAAGCGCTGGGAGTGCTCGCCGAAGGCGTTCGGCTTGCCGGAGTTCTCGTTCTTGCCGTAGGCGACCTCTTGTCGCACACTCGCAAACCCACCCAAGACGGTAGCGTAACAGGGAGCCAGAGCCCAGAGCACTTTCCAGTCAAACACGTCCTCAAACATTGCCAACCCTAAACCCTACACCCCAGATATTGCTGAAGATGCTTCAGCATCCTTGAAATCCTTGAACCCTATCGGAAGGCCTCGGAGTGGCAATGGAGATCCACGCCTTTCAGCGCCGCATTAGATAGCTTTCGGGTTTGCAAGTGTTTAAGGTTGAGGGTTTATAGGGTTAAGGCTGTGCGTGGCTGTGTGCTTCTTCGTGCGAGTCATGTAAGGCCCTGTGCCTTCCAGCTCCTGCTCCTCGCTGACCCTCATGCGCATGACGAGGCGCATCAGGAAGAAGATCACCGCGGTCACGGCTGCGGAATAGACCACACCGAAGGCTGCGCCGGCCAGGTTCTTCGCCAGCAGGAGCCCGTCACCCCCGTAGATGAGGCCATCACCTGTGTCGAAGAAGCCGCCAAGAATGGCACCTGCGAAGCCTCCCACGCCATGCAGAGAGAAGCAGTCCAGTGAGTCGTCCACCAGGTTCAGCTTCTTCAACCCGCGAGCCGCGAAGACGCAGCAGATGGCTCCAATGGCACCAACGCCGAGAGCGCCCAGGGGCTCCACGAAGCCGGCGCACGGGGTGATGTTCACCTTAGCGGAAGCACAAAGACTTGATGGACTACTCTACTACATGGTGAGCCATCCCAAAAAACAAGTGCTTCGCACTGTGTCGGCATGGGAACTTATAGAAACTGAGTGAGGCCATGGACAGGCAAGCAGCGAGTCCAGCTACCGCGCCTGACATGGCGCCGACGGATGTGGGAGCTCCATCGAGGATGCGCTCGACGGAGACCCACGTGATCATGGCTGCGGCCGCCGCAACGTACGTGGTGGCGATGGCCAGGGCACAGTCGCCGTTGGCGGCGAAGGCGGAGCCGCCGTTGAAGCCGGTCCATCCCAGCCAAAGGATACCTCCGCCCAAGATGACGAAAGGCAGGTTGCTGGGGAAGGACTCGGAACGGTGCTTGCGCTCCCCCAGCAGTGATGCCAGAGCGATCGCTGAGGTGCCCGAGCTGATGTGAACGACAGTTCCACCGGCAAAGTCCTCAGAACGCGGGAGACAAAAACGAAAACTCAAGAGCAGAGGGCAGCGACGAGTACATGCTATCCGGATCTGCGGACTAGCATGCAGTCCTTCGCGCCCATCTCGGCAATCCAGCCGCCGCCCCAGATCCAGTGGCAGAGGGGCACGTACACAGCAAGGACCCAGGCCACGATGAAGATAGCGTAAGCCGAGAAGCGGATGCGCTCGACCACGGCCCCAGAGATGATAGCAGCCGCTATGATTGCGAAGGTCCTTACGTCTATACGTTTACTTCGCAAAAACTGCAAGCTGTCATGACGAACAATATTATCGCTTCTGCAGTCTACAGAGCACATGCAGCCACACGATGCTTCTTGAAAAGCACGATTCCAGATTGATGCCAAGGGTCATCTGAAACACTGCAAAGGTCATTCCTGGCATCGTGGTTCCGGACCACACCGCGTCGAGGTTGCGGAAGCCCACATAGGTAAAGCCCTTGCCTGCACCCCACTCGTCAAAGGACCACGTAAATCCGAACACCAGCCAAGTGATGGTGGTCAGTCCCATGGAGATGATGCTCATCATCATCGTGTTGACGATATTGCTGTCTCGCACCAGGCCACCATAAAAGAATGCTAACCCAGGCGTCATGAACAGAACCAATGCACAGGACATGGCCATCCACGCGGTGTCGCCGTTGTTGAGGCCCTCCATGTTTCCAAAGCGTTCCTACCAGGCTTCTACTTCTACCTGTTGCTGCGCGACGCCCTTCGGCCAAGCGGCGGCCAAGCTCTGCTGCATCGTGCTATAGCAGTGCACTGTAGTAGACTTCATGTGCGAAATTCGTCTGTGTTGGTCGTCAAGCTGGGATTTCCTCCAGCTGCTAGCTCGCCCTTGCTGGCCCAGCTTTCGCCGGAGTCCCGGTGCTCAGACTACAGTTTACACAGATTTACACATTTTGTACACACACCGTCCGGACCCTCCGCAACAACAACGGAACCGAAACAGCCGCAACCAGGCCCAGAATAACGGAAACACAGAGAAACACGCATCGTCTTTGTCAGGGTCATCGTTATTGTTATCACTGTCACCGCCACCGTCATCATCATTCTCGTCGTCGTCACCAATGCCACCAACAGCGTCATTTGCTACATGTAGTCAGCTTCCGCCACAAGGCTGACGTCACATGCCATCTACTGTGCCATTATCACCAAGCTAGGGCTGAGAGAATCAAAGGCTCCGGCAAAGTTGACGAAGTGGCGGAAGTGAAGCTGCTACATGGAGTGGCACGTTGGCGCAAGTACTAGATACGAGCTACTTCCGACAATAGGAGTTGGTTTTCAATCCTATGATATCCTCTGCTCCTGTTATAAGTACATGATCCGTGATAACCTGCGACTAAGGTTTTTGCGAAGTTTGGAGCTCGAGGTTTGTTTGGATTCAATATTCACACGTACTGGCTTGTGTCGCGGAACACGAAGCTCATCATTGGCCGGCTTACTGAAAAGTAGGGGGCCCTTCTGGAAGAGCGCCGGCGAAGGAGGCCCTGTCTCTTCTCCCTGCCATGTCTTCGAACGCACAGCTCAAGCCCTACATTTGGATTCCGAGCTTTGGGACACTGCTTCGTGCTGAAATCCTCAAGCTCCGAAAATTCACAACACCGTGTGTCCACCTTAAATGCCGAAGTTGCCACGTGGCGGCAGACCTGCCTGTAGACTGCATAGCCACGACCTTCATGCCCGGTTGGATTGCTCCCCACAACAAGTAGCTTCGTGTTGACCAAGCAAGATCCGAGGCAACCGTAGGCCCCATCAGAATCAATCAGCCAAACTCCCGAATATCGTGTTCCGCTGGTGTGGAGTTCGAAGGACCTACATTCTATATGGTCATTCTGAGGCTGAGAGGCAACAAACAACAACAGAGAACACAACCCAACCCCAACACAACCGACTCCAGAATAACCCCAGGGCTCCAAAGCTGCATCCCCAAAAGCTCCAACCCCCGAAGACCTTCGCAGAAGCAGGGACAAGGCGGGAATACAACTTGAGCCCCAAAACTCTGAAGGAACATGGGCCCCGTCCTTCCGAGAGCCTTCTGTCAAACAATTCGGAACCCTAAACTTCAAAAACCCCGAACTTGCGACCCTCAAACCCGAAGACCCCGACACCAACCCTAGTACCCAAAGCGTTAAGCCCAAACCCCCACACCCGAGATCTTCAAGCCCCCCAAACCCCCAACATCCCCAAACCCCCCTTAAGCGCTACAGGCCCTCACCCTTCGAGTTTGGGGTCTAGGGTTTAAAGTTCCCCAAATTTCCTAAAGCCCTCAGACCAGTTCGCCAGAAATCGAATCACTTAGGCCCGCAGGGCGTAGGCGGCGCACGGACGGATGAAATCTCGTGGGCATGGAAGATCGACTTGATCTGAGTTTGGGCGCAAAGGGTTAATGGGTGGTTATACGTGGGGCAATTACGGACTAGTTGTAAATCATACTAGAAAACTTACAACCCTACTTCTAACTACCCATGAACCTCTAAGCAAACCTTAAGAGCTTATTAGGGTTGCCTGGCTTCGGGTGCACGGTTTGGGGTTTGAGCCCTAGAGGGCTTGAATCTTAATTAAAGTTTTGGCAGTTCGGGTGTAAGCCTTGGTAAGATATTGGGTAAGTCTTTTAATATGGTCCGTCTTGGGTCCCAAAAATAGTACGCCACCCTTATAAAGACTCTGCTGTAGTTTTGTGTGTCGCGCACGCAACGGTGACTTGAACCATATCAAACCGAAAAGTCTAAATTTCTAATTATTGAATTTTCGAACTTTTGAGTTTGCGAATGTTCGAATATCACAGCTTTGGTTTTTGATATTGTTGTCCGAGCCCGAGGTACCCGTGGACGGCAGGGTTGATGTGTGTGCCACAGTCGCAGCTTCTAAGTACCGGTATGGTCTTGAGTTTGGCCCGGCTTCCACTACCATGTTTGCTCTCACTCACGTTAGCTGTTAAGCGGGCCGTGTGTGCATGGTTCACCCTCGCATGATCTGGAACACTGAATTGCTTGCATGTTTGCAGAGACTCATGCTAAGGTACCCAGAGCTCCATGATCTTTTTGTCAGGGCTTGGGCAGCTGTCCGAAATGATGAATCAAGCTTGCTCCTTACCCGGTTTGGGATTGTTGCAAATCTTCTGCGAGTTGGCAAAGCCGTCGGCAGGACGTGGTCTGAGCCTTTGTCATGTGCACGGATTGGCACCTTCCTCTCAGCATTCTGCATGTTGACCAGGTCTGTGGGAACATGAGGTGCGTAGAGCTGCGAGTCGACACTTGTTGTCCATGTTGGCCATGAGGATTCGTAAGTATGTTGACCTTGCCAACGGGATAGATACCTGGGCCTCCTTGCGGCTCCTCAAAGCCAAGCTGCTGACCCGGTATGAACGTGGTTTTTTTGCGCACTGTGCTTGCAAGGGCCACGTTGCCCTGTGGGCACTTGTGGCGAGCAGACATCCTTTGCTCATCAGCTTGCCCTCTGTGTGGCGAGTTTGAAACCTCAACAGCACATCCGAAATCGTTGTCGAGGTGAGGCTGGTCCCGTTGAGCTGCTTGCTGATGGCTGGCCTTCTGCACAAAGCCGTCTTGCGGCTCAACCCGAAAATCAGGATATTCTCAAACGGAGGCTAACTCTTGGGGAACCCCAGGTGACAGCTTTACGCAGCTGCAACATGTGCACGCCTAAGTCAGGCGCACCATGCGAGCACGGACTCCTTCATGCTATCATCCACCTCTGAGGGCACGTGGGTCTCAGTCTGGACGGACGGCAGTTGTGATCATAATGACAAGCCTCATATTGCCCTCTCGGGGGCTGGAGTCTTCTTCGCTGCTCAGCATCCTGCCAATGCGTCTCTCCCGCCGAAAGGTCCCAGTCAGTCCAACCGTGCAGAGCTCGAGGCAGGTTTGTATGCTTTGCTCGTCATCGACGACCCGGTGGAGATTATGACCGACTCCCGTCTACTGTGCAACGGCCTTGCTCTGCTTCTGGAAAGGTGCGTACCTGATCTCCCCCTTGACCAACCAACAACCTGCGCGGACACTCCAATCTCATGCGGATGTGCACTGGACTTCGAATGCTGCTTGCACGTTTTGCTTCCTTCTGGTGGCCACCTCAGCCCCAAACTCGACAACATCGGCTGCAACGCTGCGACTCTCATGTCCAGAACTCATTCCATGCACATTCTTGCGAGAAGCTTGATGTCGCATCAGGTTCTCATGAACTTTACAAGGATGTGAAATTCCGTTGGGCTCAATTACCTTGGGCTTGGTCGTTCTGCTGGGGTGCAATCGAGACCTGTCTTAGCAGCCGCTGAGCAGTTTGCACGCTGATTGAGCGTGTTGCTTCTTTTTCCAAACGAACATCGCCGTCGTTGGCCCAAGCTGCATAGAGGTTTAAGCCGTATGGTTCAGGATTTAAGGGTGTAGGGTTTTGGTTTTAGGGGTGAAGGTTTTGCGGGCTTCGGAGTTGTGTAAGCGTCGGATGGATGGTGTCGGGTTTAGTGTCTCAACCCACAAATGCTCATGATGTCGCACACAAGACAAGGGGTGCGATTCGTTACGGGTACTGGGTTGCGTCTGTTGCGATGTCAGAATCTTTGTACGGAGGGGTTCTAGGCTGGTTCAAAGTATTCCGGGTTAACCGGGTTCAAGGGCTAGCTCTAGGTTGAAACTCGCCAAAGAAGGTGGAAGGTCGCCCAAAGCCCTGCGGCACACGGCATGGGAGTGAAGTCAATGCAGGCGGGGTGATGTGAGCCCAACAACGATCAAACTTCAGTCTTTTTTGGAGTGTTCGCGGCTGACACCCAAAATGCAGCATTCCTGCGAACACTGGGTTGAGAAGCCTCATGAGTGGCCAGAATACACATTGGATGTCATCAAAGTTGGGGCATGGATGGTCTATTCTCGGACCGGCTTAGACCATGGACGTCGTCATGCTGGGGTGTGGGAGGGGAAACAACCTAACCTAGCACTAACCTAAACCCTAAGCCCAGCTTCCCCTGATAAGGGGACCTAAAATTATGAAGTAAAGTAAAACTAAAAGCTGGGTCCTAAACCCTACGTGCCCGCCGCCTCCTGTGTTGGAGTGCCAGGCACCCTAAACCCTAAGCCGGGTTTCCCCTAAAATTTGGGGACCTCGGCGAAACCCTATGCCTGGCTTCCCCCTTCGGGGGGCCTGGGCAGGTATGTCCAAAACCCTAAACCAAACCCTGAAACGAAACCACCCCCACACGCACACCGCAACCCTAAAAACCCGGAGAGGGGTTGTGAATCCGGTGGAAGGGGGGGGAGGTGCAGGCGAGGTGTAGACGCTGGATTTCACAAGCATCCGCTCGAGAACGCAACATCAGTGGCATCGGCGCACATATGTGGCTCATCTCTAGGAAAAACTGTGCACACTGACTAGATTGCGCAGTACATAAATCCGTGGACTCAGGGTTCAGGTTTGAAGGGTTAGAGGTTAAGCGATGTCTGGCATCTTAATGGGGTTTGTGGGCTGCAGGCCGGAGGATTTAGTCATAAAACTACTTGAGCCATTCAGTGCAGGTATCAATAATAAGGGTCAGCCAGGGCAGAACTGGAGAGTGTATAAGATCTTGGGGAAATGGTCTTGTTTTCCTGCTGCAAGAAAGCTATACCGGAAGCCTTGGACAAAAATTGGAAGAATTGCATTTTGGAGTTTCGAAAAACAGAAAGATGGAAAAGTTGATTTTGTGGATTTTATTCGACCTTTTGCATTTTCGGTTAATCGAATTTTCGAATTTTGGATTCTTTAAATGTTTCAGAAAATTGCAAATGACTTCTGACATTCGTCTAGCGGGATCTAGATTGAAAACTTGTATTTCGAATTTTCGAATTCGCCAAAAACTCTTGGATTTGTGAAAGCTTCGATTTATTGAATTTTCAAGGGTTGTAACAACACTGGAAGTTCTAATTTTTGCATTTGTGAGGAAAAAGTCAAGCGAGATCTTCGAAAGCTCGAATTTTCGAAGTTTCGAGTATTGGAATGTGCAAAAAGTTTTCGAAGTTTCGATTCTTTTACAGTTTTCGGAAGCGCGTCGCGTCATTTGCGTGACACGCAAAAACAACAGCTTGGAATGAAAAAGGCCCTAGCGACCCTGATTCAGAGAAGTACCTGCTACAGGGGTAGTTGTCAAAATTAGGGTCCCTTTTTGGGTATCCTAAATACTAGGTGCTGTATTATAACAAGGACCCAAAAAGGGACCGTAATTTTGACAACCACCTATATGGGGAAGGGAGCTCTGAGAAAGTCGAATGACGCGAACATGTTCGAACCTTAAGCGCCAGAATTGAACCGTTAAGAACCCGCGAAGGACCCATAAGACCCTGAAGCCCTGAACCCTATAGAACCCTATAAACTTTAGGATCGCCAAGGTGGCCCATATTGCAATAAACCGAACCTTAAACTCGAACTAGCCCAGAGCTAGTAGCTAGCTTCGTATGTCATGGACTCAGCCCGCGGCCCAGAACGGATAGCGCGGAGGATGCGGTGGATCCTCCACCACCCACGAATGAGTGGAGGGCTTGGGTTTCAGAGTTGGCAAGTTGGGGGGTTCCTGCAAGCTTGGTTGTTGAGGGTTTTAAGTTTTGAATTTTGGGTTTTGACAAACCCTAAACCTGAAACCCTACTAAACTTTTAGGTCTTTGGCTTTAAGCTCGGGGTGTTGGGGTTTACATGTAGAGTTCAGGGTCAGGAATGGTCAGGACATGGCGGGTCGGTACAGAGACACAAAAGGTCCAAAGGGTTTCACCGAGCATCCAGGGTCGAAAACCAGAGAAAGTAAAGAAAAGTTCATAAAGCCAGAAAGCCGTTAACCCCTAAGCCCAAAACCCGAAGCGTGCTCTTGCGCTACGGGGACACCGCGCACTCTGCTTCACTCAGTACTAAGTAGTGCCTTATGAGCTAGCTTTGGTCTAGGGTTTGCGTTCAGGGTTTGCGGTTTCAGTGCGTGGGTCTAAGCCCTGAGGTCCCAGGATTAAGAGGCCCTAACCGACATTCATATCAAACGTTGGAACCAGTGGCATCAGAAACTCGCGATGTCCTCAGAAGAGACTTTGCAAAGCCCTACGAGAGCCCCGCCCGCAAGCAGCTTCACGACCGTCATAAAGGACCCTGCACCCTAAGCCCTAAACCCCAAACCCAAAACCCCTAAACCGCAAGCCTTAAACCCTAAACCTTAGACCCTAAGCCCTAAACCCCTACACCCCTTGCACCCCTAAACTCCCATGAACCGACTTGAAGTCCTTGTCATCGCAGCGGCTCGGGTGTCCCACGCACACAGCCAGGGCTGTGGAAGTGGCGGCCACGCCCTGCCCGTTCCCAGAATCTCAAAACTAGTGGGTATAGGGTTTAGGGGTATAGGGTTTAGGGTTTAGGAGTTTAGGGTTTAGGGTTTGGGGTTTCCTGCCCGTTCCCAGAATCTCAAAACTGGTGGGTCTTGCACTCCTAAAGCATAGGGTTTCATGCCATGTCCTACCGGAGTGTCTCACCCTAAACCCTAAACCCAGGAAGATGCGTCAGATCAGCGGGGCATCCTGAGTATGCTTTAACGATTGACCGATAGTAGGGTTTATAGGGCTTAGGGCATATATTCAATACTAACTCAATACGCTTGCGGCCCCTATTTACTTCTTATAACGCGTTTCGTCCTCAAGTTCTGAGACAGCATGACCGGGGAGCTCCTAATGTTCCTGAAGCCACTACTTAGTTGCTGAGTTCATAAGCCCCAAAACGTGTACACTTTTAGCTTTATAGTGGGTAATATTGTCCCAAGAAGTGTAAAGTGTATCCACTCAGCTACTAAGACTACGAGAAGCCTACAGTTGAAGGCGCCCCAAACCTGAACCCAAACCTAAAGCCCTCAGCCCTGAACCCCGAAATCCGTATCCCTCCCTTCCCCCCCCCCCCGCAAGCACTGCCGGGCGGATCAGGCGTCTCCGAGCCATGTCTCTCTAATTTCTCTCCGGCGCTTTGGAGTCCAAAATCACCGATCACCGGGTTCTCGAGCCGAGGACGGTCTCACAGACTCATCGCAGCTCTACTGCCCAGGAAGTAATATGGGCAAATTGAGGTCCCTTGTAGGGCTCCTTAAAGGGATCTTTAAGGATTTCCAGAAAACTTCCATAAGACTGGGAAGTGTTGTGGAAGGGCTTCGAGTTCACTGGGATTCATGATGCTTTTCAGTTCATTTAGTCCAGGGTTTAGCAGCGTTGAGTAGGGATGAGTAGGGTCTAGGGGCGCGTCTATAGGTTGTTCGACTAGAATTTTTGAGCTGCGTCATCCTACAATAGTCTGCGGACTGTGCGGGTTCACTCGAGGCTGGCTTTTTGGATCGAGATTTTCGGACTCACCCAGGGACCCAGAGGGTCCATACACACTGCAACTATGGAACCATAAGGATGGTCTTTCGGGACCTAATTCCAGAATGGCAGTATAGATGGACCCTAAAGCCTAAACCCTAAAATCCTAAACCCTAAAGTCCTAAAGCATCTACAATCCTTGTACGTGGACCAAAGCCTAAACCCTAAAATCCTAAGCCATAAAGTCCTAAACCCTATACAATGCTTGTATATGGACCCTCTAGGTTCGAATCTCAGGCTCGGGTTGAGGGCTCAGGTCCTGGCGCTCCTCTAGTAAATGAAGAGCATCTCCCTAGGAAATTGGCGCTGGGGGGGATGTAGGGGCTAGGGTTTAGGGTTTAGGGATTTTGGGTTAGGGATTTAGGGTTTAGGGTTTAGGGTTTGAGGTTTGGGGTTTGGGGTTTAGGGTGATTTAGGATTTCGGATTGGGGATGTTAGGGATGCAGGAGCTTGCAGCGAAGCAGTTCTGCACACTACTTGGAGGATCATGGGACTTAGTAAGTAAGGTTATAAGTACCCTAATTGGGGATATAAGTATAGTTACCCTAATTATAACCCTAGTTACTAAGTCCCATGATCCTTTAAGTACCCTAAAACCCTTCTTCTAGAACCCTTATAGATCCCTTTTAAGGAACCCTAGTTACTAAGTCCCATGATCCTTTAAGCAGGGTCGAACAGTTCCTGGATTTCGGGTGGTTGGACGCCAGGAGAGCTGGGAGGCTTTAGGGGTTTAGGGTTTAGGGTTTAGGGTTTAGGAATTAGGCTTTAGGGTTTAGGGCTTAGGGTTTAGGGTTTAGGCTTTAGGGTTTAGGGTTTAGGGTTTAGGGTCTGGACCCTAAGGAGCCTGCCTTTTTAGGGGTTCCCTAATATGATTGCTTGATATAAGTCCTTAAGAAGGTAGGTTACTTGGGGTTAAGGTAGGGTTCAGGGTGTTGCAGGGTTCCAGTTAGACGGGGTAGGACTTCGAGATCCATCGCTGCAACCATTTTCCAAGTCGCCAGACAGTTCCACAAATTCGAATTCCGTTTGTACAAAGAGACAAGCCTACCATATCCACACGGCCGACCCAACACACTGCTGATAGCGCTCGACTGGGTGCTGACAACTCTATGCTCTAATTACTCACTAACCCTCAAGTGCTCATGTGATGTAGGGCCCTTATCATCTCAATAAGGCTGCTTAAAGCTTCTTTTGAAATAAGGAATCGTGAGGAATAGTAATATGTAATGGTTTTACAAATTATTCAGGCCCCCGATTTACGCCCCAAAAATCAAGGGATCCTTGTCCCAAACATGCGGCCGGAGCAGAGAAGACTCGGAATGACTGGGTCATTGTCTTCTGCTGCGTGAAACGTCGCCACTCTGCTCGTGGTCACCTCGCCTCAGAAGGTTTAGGGCTTAGGACTTAAGGCTTCGGAAATTTCAGGACTTAAGGCTTCGGGAATTTTAGGATTTATGATTAAGGATGTAGGGTTTCGGGGGATTTCGTGGTGTTTAGGATGTAGGGTTTCGCGAGTTAGACCCTAATACCTAAAAGCTAAACCCTGAACTCAAGGCCTCGGCCTGCCCTGCCCTGCCCTGTTCCCTTTCTTTCTGCTACAAAGGAAAGCGGCATGGCGCTCAACCCTAAAAGGAATATACAGGTTCAGGGTTTAGGGTTTAGGGAATATACAGGTTTGGGTGGCTCTGCCGCCAACAACGGCGTGGGGTGGTCCAGAAAAAAGGAAACGCCTTCGGTAGACAGGCTGTCGCAGCTCGTCGCCACAGTACGATGCACTCGACACAACCTGGTCATAAGATCAACCTGGTCATAAGATGTCACTGCTTACGCGCTGTTCCACGGCAAACCTCTCAACCCTAAACCCCTAAACCCCTAAACCCCTAAACCCCAAACCCCTAAACCCTAAACCCCTAAACCCTTAAACCCCTACACCCTTAAACCCCTAAACCCTTAAACCCCTACACCCTTAAACCCCTAAACCCTTAAACCCCTAAACCCATAAAACCCCTAAACCTAAACCCTTAAACCCCTAAACCCTTCAACCCCTGAACCCCTAAAATCCGAAACCCCTAAACCCCTAAGCCCCGAAACCCAGGGTTTGCGGGTTTAGGGCTTCAAACTTCGGCTGCCGTGGACCCGGCACCAGCAAACGACTCTAAACGGAGAATGAAAACTCAACACAAGAACTCAAAACACCTGCACCAAGTTGTGTGTTTATGGGCCCTTTTCCGTCTGCACTTGCGTCCGAACTTCCAAGTTTGGGGTTTTGGGGCTTTGCGGTTTCAGTACGGGAGCCAGGCTTGGGGGTTCAGGATTTAGGGTGTAGACAAGAGAGGAGGCGTTTGTCACGCTCTGCACATGCCGTAGTCTTAGGAGTTAGGGTTTAGGGACCCCCATCTGAAATAAGGCCTAACAGAACGCAACTTCAGAGCGTTTGTTTTGAACCCTAAACCCCCACCCCCTAACAGGTGGGCTCTTGGCTTTCGTTTCTTGGAAACCCTAAACCCTCCAAAAGTGGGCTCTTGGCTTTCGCACCTGAATGGCCAGCATCTCGAAGACGTAGCGCACCTTCCCAGCATCCTAAACTCGAAGAGTCGACTGAGTGTCAAGAAAGCCACCCAACCCCCGGGGAAGCCCGGAGCTTAAAACTTTGAAACATAGTATATAATAGTTAATATAGTTACTATATCGTTACATACTATAGTTACTATATAGTTATATACTACTAGTAGAGCAATTATAGGTACTATAGATATGAAACCTACAGCTGCCACCACTTCTCCTCCTAGTGCCATTGCCAGACTACGACCACTATTGCTGCACGCCACCGACGACGACGATGCTGACGACTACGACGACGAGCACAACGTCGACGACGACGACGACGACGCAGATGTACAACGACGATAACGACGACGATGATCGACGATGACGATTCCAGCACACAAGCCTGCGCAAACACTACTTTGAGAATGCTGGTCGGCATCTTTGACGCAATGACTTCTACGAACGCATATAGCTGTTGTATTTTACTGCACGCATATACTGTTGCCGTGTCATGGAAGTCTTGTCGGAGCTTTCGCCTTGTGCGTAGATGATCAAGTCTCCTTCCCTTGGCTTTTTTGCTGCTTCTCCCTGCACTGCTTCCTCTTGAAGCTGTCTCATTTTCAGAGTTGCACTTGCGATGCTCATGCGCCATACTATTCGCAGTGGTGTCGCTCATCCGACTAAGCCTCTTGTCGCTGCCGTGGGTGCATTGATCATACCTACGCTTCCTAGTATTTTCATTGCTCCGGATACCCGAATATGCATGCAGCGCTGTTGCTGTGGCTGCTCCTGTTCGTCATGATCAGGTATCATGTCCTTGCTAGCTTATTGCTACCATTCTCCAATTTTGCTGATGTTATTCTTACCTTTGGTTAGTAGGGAATGGAAGAATGGTAGTAACAGTAGTTATACTTGTACCCCATTCCTCCATTCCCTACTAACCAAAGGTAAGTATTGCGTCATGCTGCTACTTCCCGTCGTCACAGTCGCACCGGCTCTGCGCTGCAGCTGCAGGTTTCGCCATGACACTTGCCGTATGTTCTGTGAAATACTGGTACTGACCTGCTGTGGTGGTGGTGATGAGGAGGAACTAGGCTTGCTCCGGTGCTAGCAACTCTTCTCCTCTCCATGACTATGGGGTTCAGAGTTCAGGGCATAGCTCTTAATAGTAATAGTAGTAGTAATAGTAATAGAAATAGTCTATTGGTAACATAGTAATAGTAATATCATGATAGCAACAATAGGGTTCGGAGCTTTCTGGCTTTGGGCTTCAGGCTCAGGGCCTTCGAAAGCTAAACATGGCACAGGGCCTCGAACTCTGCATCGTCCTCGAGATCTGTCGCATGGACGCCTCCGCAAGTGCTGCTGGGCTTCGACGCTTTGATGAAAGGCTTGGGCTTTTTTGTTCAGCACCTGTTTCCGCCTGCACCCTAATATGGTACCCTACATAGTAGGATCCTTATTATAAGGACCCCCAAAATACCTACCCCTAGTTTTCGGAAACTCCCATATAGACACTACTGTCCATGCTAACGGAAGGCCACAGGTTCAGGGTTTGGGGTTTAGGGCGTGGGGTTTAATGTTTAGGGTTTAGCTTAGAAGGGGCCCCCACCCTGTAATAGTGACCATAAGGATTATATAGGATTATATTAGGGCCCTATTATATTCCTATTTTACCACTATTACAGGGTGGGGGCAGCTTCTAAGGTTTAGCTCTTCGGGCTTAGGGTTTAGAGGTTAGGACTTTGGGTTAATCAAATGATCCTACGTCTCGATCCAAAAAACCTAACCCCGAACGCCAAAGCCGAAAACCGCCCAAAACCCTACACGGCTGGATGGCTTCTGGACCCTGCCCCTTCCAAGTCTTCCCTGAGCCTGTGTCCCCCAGCCCGAATCTTGTAACTCCGGAACCTTCAACCCAGAACCCTAAGCCGTAAACCAGCCCTACTCCATGGACATCCATGGAACCGAAACCTTCGCCATCATAGACTTCAAATATGGAAAACAGTAAGTGTAGTAGGAGTAGTAGGAGGAGTAGTAGTAGTAGTAGTAGTAGTAGTAGTAGTAATAGTAGTGATAACTGTCGTCATTACTTCATCAGCATTACTGATCCCATTATCATCTGTATGGCACACCATCGTCATGATCACTGTCATTATGGCTGTCTTCTCAATCTTGTCATCCTAAATGACACTGGTACTTGTGCCGTTCTTGCAAAACGCAAAGGTGACCATGTAGTAATAGTAACAACAACAAATATTGTTACTATTGTTATAACATAGAATATAAAAGAAAAGAGTAAGAGTAAGCATAATCGATAGTCCTCATATAAATCTACTCCAACACACATGAGACTCGACACCCTAAGCCCCAAACCCTACACCCTGAACCCTAAACACTACACCCAACACCCAAAACCCCAAATCCTGAACCCTCAACCCTACACCCTACACCGGCTTTGAACCCTAAACCCTAAACATTTGACACCCGGGGAGTCGACCATTGTTCGCGTTATCCATGCCGAAGCGGGCACGCAGTGACTGCGGCCGCAGGTGTCGGGCCTGGCGGTGAACAGTTGTGCACGTACTATAGGGGCCTTAATCATTAGAATAGGGTTTTGAGGCCCATGATACTATAGTTATAATGAGGAACCCCCACAATAGTATAGGTAATTATTTAGGCCCCTATCTTATACGAGGTGCTCTTTAAGGGTTTGCATGGGGGTCTATGAGGGTTTTATGGAGGCTTAGGGTCTGTTGGGGTGTACAGGGTTTTATTCGGCTTTAAGTCTTTGGGGCTTGATATATGAGCTAATTTGCTTTCGCTGCTCCTCATCTTGTTGCGCAAAGCCCATATGCCGAAAATTCGAGTTTCTGTTCATCGTCCTGCAGCATCTGCTAAGCAATATGAGCAACCGTAGTGTTCAGGAACAGCTGCTCGGAAACATGAGAAACCCACATTCTGGCTATAGTTGAAAGAAACCCCAAAGCCCTAAACCCAATTCAGAAACGCCCATCCCAAAATCATGGACCCAAAATCCGAAATCCTCGACCCGGAAGCTCGAAGCCCGAGGGGGGTTGGGTTCCACCACTCCGCCGCCAGAAATCGCACATTGAACCCTATAAAGAAAACTGTAAGACCCCGTAAAATCCCTTTAAAACGCTCTAAGACCCAAGATAAACCCTGCAAACCCTGAACCCTCCTAAACCCTACACCCTAAACCCTAAACCCTAAACCCTAAACCCCAAACCCTAAAAACCCTAAACCCCAGAAGAAGGGCCCTGTACCTTACAAGAGCTCGCCGGGCAGACCATGTCCACATCATATGGCCCACAGAGCTCTCTCAGCTTCTCCTCAGTCGGTGCAGGACTTAGGGTTTAGGGTAGAGGGTTTAGGATTCAAGTGGTTCAAGATTTAGGGGTTTAGGGGTTTAGGGTTCAGGGTGTGGGGTTCTGAGATGACGAACTAGAATATGGCAAGGGTGAGTTAAGTCATATAGTAAACCTTATAGTGGGTAATAAGACTATTGCTATGTCATTAATATCGTCACAAGATCTGCCAAATCCAAGACCCTAACCGTCCTAACCCCCAAAACCCCAATACTAAAATCCAAGCATCCTAAAACCTGCATAAGCCCGAAGCAAAGAGCATAGCAATAATTACAACACCACTACATGAATAAAAAGCAATAGGTTCATATACATAACCAAGGCGATCATAACCGCAAAAAACGACAGTTTCAAAATGTGAAGTCCTAAGAACCCGAATGCCAAACCTCCCATGCCCTTCAGCCCTTGAAAAAATGGCCCCGTAAACCATGAACCCTGTACCCGACCCTCGGAAGCCATCGACATCTGGGTAGCAGTAGTTCTCTAAGTCAGGATACCGTTTCCAGATCCCCTCAAAATCGCACGGCACCCTTATAAAAGGACCCTGAAAGGGACCCGAGTTTAGAGAACTTCGCATTTTGGGGCGGCCGCCACCGCGGAGTCTTCTGCGCGCACCTCCTGAAGATTCCCCGGGGGGCGGGCGGAGACCAATGAAAGTGCTCGAAAACTCCGGGGAAGGTTTAGGGTTTAGGTTTAGGCTTGGGGTAATCGGGCTGAAGGATACCGGGCTCAAGATATTTGGTGTTTTTTTTAGGGTTTAGGGCTTACAGATTTAGGGTGTGAGGAGTCTGGTGGCGGAGGGAGTTCGAGATTTTGGAAACGTCTGTGTTTTAGAGAGGCTTGGGAACGGGTTGAGGGTTTGGGATTGTCCAAAAGCGCTTAACCCTTTCATTTCGTGGAGAATCCGACCTAAAGGCGAGGGGTTGTTAGGATTTCGGGTTCGGGGGCTGTTGCGCTTCAGGTTTGGGGTCTCCGGGGTTGGAGATTCCGGCTTGAGCTTAAAGGGAACTCCAGAAAGTTGGAATATGGTTTCAGGGTAGGATACCCTATAATTTACCATAGAAGGGTGAGGATAATCATATTCCAACTTTCTGGCTTTTACCTTAGGGTTTAGGGTTCAGGGTTTGGAGTTCAGGGTTATGGGGGCCTGGACGTGTGAGGCCAGACAACTAGAACAGGGCGTCCAAGCACGTCATGCTGCTGAGTATGGAGGGATGAAACCCGAGTCTTGCCTTACGTTCCACTCCCCTCGAAGCAGAAATCCGGCGCTCTATGGTAGTCTGGCCTAACTTTGGACCCGCTGGGGCACAGGCCAGTGCCAGCATGGGCGCAATGCTCATTCCGTCCACCATCTCCTTGTGGTAGGGGACCACCTCAGGAGCCATGGGGTGCACAGGGCTTTGGCTGTTCGGCACCACCTTCAGAGGGGTCTTGGGGCTTGCAACCAAAAGAAGGTGCCAAAATCCTGCAATCCGTTGTGACCATCGACAAGAAGGAAAATCCCATCGCGACCTTTCAGTACTATACAGAACAAACTGAAGGTAGCCCTCCATTTTCATCGGCACCCTTGTGAATCCCCCATCAAACCCGCGAGCAGGCCCTTTAAAACCCTAACAAGCCCAAAACCCTGAACCCCAAGCCCTAGAATTGACTACGGTTCTGCTATCCAAGAACTTTACAATCAACGTGTTGACGTAAAGTAAAACCCTGAAAACTACAAGTTTAAACTCCAACAGCCCGAACCCTGATGTGGGGGCCAGACCCCTTTGTAGACATCTAGGAGTTCTGCAGCTTCAGCGTGCTGGAGGTGAAGCATCTCCCTCGGCCACACTGTTGCTTTCTGTCGGCTTGCGCGGGGTCCCCAGTCCCCAACCCCAAACCCTAGAACAGGGTTGTCTAGATTCTTATGGCGTTCGCCGCTTGCAAGCATCGCTTGGTGTGAATTGACATTTTATTGGAACGGGGTTTAGGGTCTAGGGCTTGGGGTTTTTTTTGCAAGAACCCTGTTTGGCAACAAAGAGGGTTCCACATTCCACTGTTAGTGCTTGACGATCCTTCTCTTTGAACGACGAGGCAGTAGGTCAAGGCACCTCTGGATTCAGATCTGCGCGCTCCAGTCGTAGTAAGTAGCCCTTGGGAGTAGTATTGCCAAGTATTCAGGCCCACATACTCGCAGGCATCGCTTTCACCTTCCTGGGACGATGGTGGCTAGAAGTGGTGCGCTGGACACTTCGGTTAGAGGCCCCTCGAGCCTCAAACCCCAAAGCCCTAATCCCGAAACCCTAAACCTTAATCCCCCCAAAGCCCTAATCCCGAAACCCTGCTTCGGGGGTGGATCCCAAGGCCCCCCGCGCTGCGGAGATCTCCAGGCCGGCACTCTGAATGGCGGCGATGATCTCACCGGCTTTGCCTGCCTCGTTGCTTTTTGAGGGCTCCTTTAAAGGGATCTATAGGGTTCCTTTAAAGGGATCCATAGGGCTTCTTTTTGCTTACCTTTGGTTAGTAGGGAATGGAAGAATGATAGCAATAGCAGTTATAATTGTACCCCATTCCTCCATTCCCTACTGACCAAAGGTAAGTTTGCTGTCTGAGGGTGTGTAGAGTTTCGTGTCTGGGGCTTTAGGGTCTTGAGGTTTAGGGTTTGGGGTTCAAGGTCTGGGGGTTTAGGGCTGACTGATGCCCTGCTCCAAAGAAGCCCCGATGATTTCAAGTGTAGCCCTATGCTCACTGCTCAACTTGTATTTCAGAGCAGGGGTTGTGCTTATACCTGAAGATCTCTGGTGGCTTTGAACAGTGCACCCTCAGCCCTACATCCCCGAGCTCGCTGATGTCTGTTCTGGCTCTTCGTCTAGACCCAAGAGTAACCTAGGAATAAAAAGGGTGTCCTTTTATGGTTTAAAGGGGCTTATCATGGAACCTGAACCCTCAAAAAGGAAATCAGGGCTTACTATGGGTCCTAGCAGTCTTAGTGTAGCAGCTTCTGAAACCTGAAGTGAGATACCCAACCATCATTCTCACCCGAAGCATCGCCATCATTGCCTTTGAAACCGTCGTGATGACCTTGGGTTGCCACTCATCATCCTGCCCACCGTACGGCTATACGGAGACACAGCCCTGAGAGTCCCCAAAGCTCCGAAGAATTCGTAACTGCGGCCCCTTATCGCACCTGATTAAGGAACACTAGGTCCCAGTTTGATATAACCCCTGAGTCCAGGAACCGGACCCCCCTAAACCCGAAACCCTAAACCCTAAACCCTCTTTGCCTTTGAACCCTAAGCCTCAAAATCCCCCTGAACCCCAAGTCCCACCAAGGCGAAATCCTTAAATCCTGAACCCCTCAGACCCCGAAAATCCCCCTACTAATAGCCGTTAAACCATACCCCCAAAACCCACCCTAAACCCCTAAACGCCTACACCCTAAATCCTAAACCCTAAACCTTAAAAACCCTGAAGGCCCCACCTTCAGGGCATGCGGCCTGACAGCTGGTGCATGAGAGGGGCTGAAGGCTCGGTGCGCAGAGGCGGTTCGAGCTTTTGAAGAGCGGGCTCAGGGCACCTACGGCTGATGATATAAATCCTGCATGGCCTTAAGGACCCTAAAATGTGGGGAGTATGGTATATTCCTTATTATGGGTAATGCAGGATTTATATCATCAACCGTAGGACAGGGGAGCCATACAGACTAGAAAAAAGAAGCTGGGGTCTACTGCACAACCGCATTGTCAGAACCTCCAAGGAACACAGCTGCGTGTATACAGCTCTACCTAGAACCCCACATGGAATCAGTTCTTCTACCCAGATCTTCCAAAATCCCTTGGTTAAGGAATATGCCTTAAGGCATATTTGGATTCCCCAGTTCTGGGATTTGGAAGGTCTGGGTACCCTCTGTACTGTAGGATACTATCATTCCCACAACCCTATTCAAATTATTAAGGCCCCAAGTCTACAGAACTGGCCTTCTCGGGGGCTCTGGCTGCAGGGGCTTAGGGCCGCGGTATTGGGGTTTCGGGGCTAGGGCTTTGGGGCTTTAGGGTTTCGGGTTTAGATTATGGGGCAGGGGCGTAGGGGTTTAGGAGTTTAGGAGTTTAGGATTTTAGGGTTAAGGGGTCTAGGGTTTAGGGTTTTGTTTTTCGGGCTTGGGGCTTTCGTCGGTTTAGTGCTTAGTTTGTAGGGCCAGGGCTTTAGAGCTTCAGGGGTTTTGGGGGATTTTGGTTTCCAGTTGTGCCAGGCATTCTTACGAATCCTTGTTCCTCGTACCGCTGGTGCCAAGTTTGTGTGGGCCCCGGGGATGTCTGAGTTGCTAAACTCTGCTGTCACCACCTTAGGGTTTAGGGTTTAGGGCTTAGGGTTTGGGGTTTAGGGTTTAGGGTTTAGGGTTTAGGGCTTAGGGTTTGGGGTTTAGGGTTTGGGGTTTAGGGTTTAGGGTTTATACCGCGAAGATCAGTTCTGGTCACGGCACTTCACAACCAAAGTCGTTGAATTCAACAGGTGCAGAACTCCTAAACCCTGAACCCTAAACCAACCCCGCCCACAGCCCTCGGACCCGAGCCTAACTACACAGAGAGTACAGTGGTCGAAGGCTGCGGTGCATGGAAAGCGTTCCTGCAGGGCCAACTGCAATCGATTCTAGAGCTTCAGGTGTAGGCGTTTAAGTGGCTTTCGAGTTTCGGCTTTCGGGTTTCGGGGTCTGTTCTTCGGCTAAGCTGGGTAAGTCTAGCAAAGCAGCACATGAAAGCTTCAGATGGCCCGACAAGTGTAAAGGCTCTTGTGTGTGTGTGTATGTATGTGTATATATATATATATAGATAGATAGATAGATAGATAGAAAAACATATACATACATATACATATATATACATATATATATATACATTCTTTTCTGTAAACCGTAGGCCTACAACCCCTACAAGCCCTCAGCTAAACCTCACCCTGAACCCTGTAGGGTTCAAGGTTTGGGTTTCTTGGTGCAACCCTTAATGCCAGATAAACCCTAAACCCAAATTTAGGGTTTTCTTTAACATGTTTAGGGGTCAGGGTTTAGGGTTTAGGGTTTCACCCGAAGCACTCAACTCTAACCCAAGAACCATCGAACCCTAAGCCCTAATCCCTGAACCCTGAACCCTAGGCCCTCATCCCCAAGCCCCTAAATCTCAAACCCGGCCCGACTCGCAAAAGCAGCAAACCAAGCCTGGAACTTAAGGTTTAGGTTTTGGGGTTCAGGGGGTTGGGGCGTGGGGCTTAGGGTTTAGGGTTTAGGCTGCAGGGTTCAAGGGTTTTGGGTAGGGTTTTAAGGATATTTCGAATGGAATTCCACTAAGGCTTCCTGAACGGGTTCTATCACGGTTACCAAAGGGTTCTACACGGGGTCTATAGTATATGGTGTAGAAGCCTTAGTGCTTAGAATAAGGCTTTGTGGCAACTGTAGTATACCTATATCGCAGCCCTTTATGGGATACTAATACCCGTTATTCCGACCCCTCTATTAATTACCCGGTCCCTGTCTGCGAAGTACGGCTCAACCTCTGCGCGCGTCACCTCGCAGGAAATGCTGGGGGTAACCCAGACAACTCTCAGCCATAGTAACCTTATGATATGGGGGTTTCCGAAAACCAGGGATACCTTATTTGGGGTCTTTATAATAAGCATCCTACTATTTAGGGTACTATATTGGGGTCCCCTAGTTTCGGAAACTCCCATATGAACAAAGCAACCTTGCTGGGTTTAGGGTTTTAGGTTTAGCGTATGACACCAACTATAACCGAAAGGGCTGGTCCCCTGATCCTCGTCCTAGTGCTTTGGGATTCAGGGTGCTCGCGAAGACTCGACCTGAACCCGACCAACTTCAGCCCAAAGCTGCCTTTCAGGGTATCAAAAAAAGGCCAATCGCAACGTGGAGCAACGTATAGGAACCCCTTACAACAACCCGCTCTGGCTGACAGGAACCCGTAAACAAACCCGAGCGGGAACTCGAAAAAGACCCATGCAGGAATCCCTCAAACCAAAACCTGCAAAGAATCCTAAAGGGAACCCCCCGACGAACCACCCTCAACCCTCAACCCGAAATCCTCTCTATCATAGGAACCCTAAACCCTAATGGTTTTCGTGGGCAAGGCCCAAAACGGGCCTTGCCCACGAAGTTTGGGCCTTGCCCACGAAGTTTGGGCCTTGCCCACGAAGGTTTGGGCCTTGCCCACGATGGTTTGGGCCTTGCCCACGAAGCCCGGGCCTTGCCGACGAAGCTTGTGGGTAAGGCCCAAACCTTCGTGGGCAAGGCCCAAACCTTCGTGGGCACGGCTCAAACTTCGTGGGCAAGGCTCAAACTTCGTGGGCAAGGCGCAAAACACGTGGGCAAGGCCCAAGATTCGCAAGCTGATGCTCTCAACAAAATGAGGCTCCCTTCGCTCCAGTTCTACGGCAGCAACTTCTAAAGTTGTCACCGCCGCCATAGTGAGTGATGATAGTCCACCCAAGCCGTCGGTAATGACAACACATGTATTGTAAAGCTTACTGTGAGAACCACTACTATGAAATTCACAGTGTAGGGCAACGGCGTCGAAGTTAATGACCCAAAGCATTTTTGTTGAACTAACTGTATTGAACTAAGCTGAAGGTAATGATACAACTTTGTATTTCTTAATGTTATGACATTACATCGACGGCATCTTCTCTGTGGAAAATCAACAGAGACTTTGTTGATGTTAACGATGTTAATGTTGTGCTAACGTTCGGTGATAGTAGTCTTAAGCTGAGAACGAAGTGAAACTCTGTATTTCTTTAATGTTATGGGATTCTGAGGGTGGGTGGGTGTTATGCTCGACCCGGAGCTGCTGAACCCTCAACCCTAAACCCTAAACCCCGAAACCCTAACCCTAAACCCCGAGACCCTAAACCCTAAAACCCCTAAACCCTAAACCCTAAACCCCGAAACCCCTAAACCCTAAACCCTAAACCCTAAACCCCGAAACCCTGAACCCTAAGCCCTCAACCCCTAAACCCTCGACCTTCAGTCGACAGGATGTGATAGCTACGGAAAGCGCTGAGGGTTCGCGGCAGCAGAGACGGCGGGTTTTAGCTTCCCATGCACGGCGAGAAATTTCAGAACGCACGTGGACACAAGCTATACGGGCATGGTACTGAGCCCTTTCGCCACGACAAGGCACCCGCCCAAGAAAGGGAAAAATAGGGGGAAAAAAAATCCAGAAAAGGGACGGGAGGGGGAGGGGGAGGAGTGGGAGGAGTGGAGGGGAGGGGGACGGGGGGAGGGGAGGGAGAGGGGAGGGGAGAGGGGAGGGGAGAGGGAAAGGGGGAGAGGAGGGAGAAGGAGAGGGGAGGAGGGGAGGAGAGGGGAGAGGGGACACGAGAAGGGAGAGGGAGGGAGACAGGGAAGGGAAAGTAGTAGTAGTGGGTGGGGGGGGGAAAGGGAGGGAGGGGAGGGGAGGGGAGGGGAGGAGGGGAGGGGAGGGGCGCGGTGTCTAGAAACGCGTACCTGTCTTGTAAAAAACATGGCATGATTTTTTGGTGCAATAAGAATAAACGTAGGGAAAAGGGAGGAAGAGGGGAGGGAAAGTAGTAGTAGTGGTGGTGCTGGGGTGGACGGGAAAGGCGGAAGGTGAGGGCAAAAACGGTGGGAAAAGAGAGGGGAGAGAGGGAAGGGAAAGCAGTAGTAGTGGTGGGTTAGAAAAGGGCGCGGTGTCTAGAAACGCCTACCTGTCTGGTAAAAACATGCATGATTTTTTGGTGCAGCAAAAAGAAACAACGGGAAAAGAGAGGAGGTAGTGATGGTGGAGAGGAAGGACGAAGGGGAGGGGAAGGGGGGGAGAGGAAGGGAAAGGAGGGTGGAGAGAAAGGACGAAGGGAAGGGAAGGGAGGGGGGAGGAAAGGGGAGAGGGGAGAGGGGAGAGGGGAGGGGAAAGGGGAAGGGGGGGAGAGGAAGGGAAAGGAGGGGAGGGGAGGGGAGGAGCGGCAAGGACAACACATTTATTTTAGAGTTTACTCTAATAGCCACTACTGTGAACTTTGTAGTATGATACCACGCCTGTAAGTGACTTGAAATCGCTTGCGCCAGGCGAAGAAGCTTCCTGGGTATAAGCAGTGAGCGTCATGACTTGCATCTCGCCTCTGCCGAGCCTTCATCATAAGCAACGGCTGGAAACATTGAAAGGCATGAAATCGCCATGAGCGGCGGCTCCGGAAGACCTCTAAGGTCGGCCAATGCAGGAGGCAGTCCACCGTGTGGACCCTCTATGCAAATGCAAACAATAATTACTGGGTCGTAGGTACGCTTGAGAACTTAAGCTCAGTACAAAAGCTCTGGGTGGCCTCTCGGGGTGGGCAAATGCAGAGCTCCACGCTCGGCGCACCCCGAAACCCCAAACCCTAAACCCTTAAACCCTAAACCTCCAAACCCCGAAACCCCGAAACCCTAAACCCTAAACCCTAAACCCTGAAGCCCTAAACACCTAAACCCCTAAACCCCGAAACCCTAAACCCTAAACCCAAAGCCCTAAACCCCTAAACCCTGAAGCCCTAAACACCTAAACCCCTAAACCCCGAAACCCTAAACCCTAAACCCAAAGCCCTAAACCCCTAAACCCTAAACCCTGAAGCCCTAAACACCGAAACCCCAAAAACCCGAAACCCTAAACCCTAAACCCTAAACCCCTAAACCCTAAAACCCTAAAGCCCTAAACACCGAAACCCCGAAACCCTAAACCCTAAACCCCGAAACCGTAAACCCTAAACCCTAAGCCCTAAACCCCTAAACCCTAAACCCTAAACCCCGAAACCCGAAACCCTAAACCCTAAGCCCTAACTCCTAAACCCTAAACCCTCAACCTAAAACCCTCAACCCAAAACCACTGGCCTGCTTGAAGGACCCTCCAGGCAGATGCGCAGAGCATTGGCTCCATAGCAGGTCTGCGTCGTCGCCCATCACCTGAACGGTCAGGGTTTGGGGTTTAGGGGTTAGGGGTTTAGGGTTTAGGGTTTGGGGGTTAGGGGTTTAGGGTTTAGGGGTTTAGGGTACAGGGTTTGGGAGTTAGGGGTTTAGGGTTTAGGGTTTAAGGGTTTAGGGTTTAGGGTGCTCCGGGTCTACAAGCGGTAGTCCCTTACTGCAGGGGCCGTAATGCTGGAACTGGATTTTGCGGCATATACTGTACTATGCTATGCTAGAATAGACTAGACTTTCCTATACTATACTTTACAATACTATGCTGTGCAGTGAAAAACCTAGAGAGCACTATAAATATGTTATATAGTTCAGGAACTAGTAGGGGATGCTCTTGTTTAGTTTTCAGACCCCTATATATTCGAAGCAGGATAGCATGGTGTAGCTCGGAGACGCAACCCGAGGAAAGCTTTGATGATGGTACGGATTCCCCGGAAAACCCTCTTCGGGCTCGGGGCTTTGAGGCTTTAGGGTTTAGGGTTTAGGCTTGGGGAAACTTACAATTTGCGATCCTGCCGTCGAGTTCTATCTATCAGATCATGGCGGCAGAGGTGGCTAGTGGCGATGGTGATGCTGCTGATGCTGGTGCACCAAGAGCTGCGGGTCGTAGCCAGTGGGTGATGGTTGCCGCGGTCGTTCAGGAACTACTTCTTAAGTGGTATGGCTTTTTCTGCTTTTTGTCGTCGCACCTACATCTCCAAACCGAAACCTGTATCCGAAATTGAACCCTGCGCCTTAAAGCCAAGCCTAAGCCCTCATCCACTGTTCTGAAGGTCTTGACCCGCGGCAGCCTTGCCTCCAGTGCCACGACAGGACCGCTGTCATTGACAAGACCTTGCAACAAGATCGCACCCCTCTAAGGATTTGGGGATAGGCTTCACGCTTGAGGGCTTAAAGCTTGGGATTTGAGGTTTAGGGCTTGGGGCTTGAGTTCAAGAATCTAGGGCCATGTGGGTTGACGGTGCAGGAATGGGGGATCCTTAAACCCCTAAACCCCTAAACCGCTAAACGTCTAAACACCTAAACCCCAAAATCCAAAACCCCTAAACCCTATAAACCCTAAACCCTAACACTCCTGGGCTCCCCCACGGAACTTCTTGATCTTGAGGCTCACTGACTCGATCTGGCTGATGATCTGGCCCAGCCTCGGGGTTTAGGCTTCCTAAGGATCCATTTAGGGGTTTCGGGTTTAGGGTTTAGTGTTTAGGGTCTGGGGTTTAGGGCTTAGGGTTCGTGTCTTAAGGATCTTCAAGCTTTAGCTTTGAAAGTTGTTGATGCTGTGGCTGTTGTTGGTAGGTTAAGGGCTTACGGTTTAGGGTTTAGTGACGGTTTAGGGTTTAGGGTCCAGGGTTTAGGGTTAAGGCTTGTGTAGGGACGGACGGATTTGGGGTGACCTGGCCGTCGAGATTCTGGGGCTTCACCGTTGGTGCTTCGGGGCTTATGGACTTAGCCATTTCAGGTTCAGGTCTTGCCGCCCTAAACCCCAAAACCCCTGAACCCTACTCCCAAGCCCAGACGCCAAATGCAGGCAGGAGAAGTCAAGCAGCCCGAGAAGCCCATTCCCCTGATGAACCACAACGCTCCAAGGGATCCGTGATGAGGTTCTAGGAGAAAAGAAAGGACCTGAATGATAAGACCCATGGTATTTTTTGGGGGAGGGTATGTTATGCTGTAACTATAACAAGTATTGGTAATTATTAAGGCCTCTGGACTCGGAGAGTGAGAAGCACCCAGCGCAGATCCCCCAGCGCTGACAGAAGCAATAAGGCGACCATGAAGCCCACGATCACTATGGGACCAGCACGACGACCATCCCGACCAGGACGACCACGACAACCAACCACCAGGAGACCACCAAGAAACCATGAGGAGACCCCACGACACCACCAGGACAGGAGACCGCCCGAATACGTTCCCCCTAGCATAGGACGCCAGCGCGAAAAATTTACACCGCAAGCGGGAGCTCCGCCGCACGGGATCGCTTTGTAAAATTTCGCACGCTAGCACAACGGGAGCCACGCGTCGAGAAGAGCCTTGCATCGCGCACGCGCGCGTGCATCACACGCGGACATGCAAAACAATTCTCGCGCTACCCTGAACGCAAGACACCCTAGTGTTATCATCACGTGTTGCCAGACTGCTTGCCGAAAAGAGTCCTGTAGAGACCCTATAGAACCCTTAAGCAACACACAGCAGAACAAGACAGTTTAAAGATCCTATGAATCTCCCAACTCGTTTCTTTATCTTACCTTTGGTTAGTAGGCAATGGAAGAATGGTAGTAATAGTAGTTATGATTGTACCCCATTCCTCCATTCCCTACTAACCAAAGGTAAGGAAAGAGTAAGGGCGTGCGCTGGTTCATGCCCTAATCCCAGGGCCGAGACCGCGGAAATGCAGGAGGCTGGAGCAGCACTGCGAGCCTAGGAATGCTCGTTCCTTTGTGGGCTCTAGGGTTTTAGGGCTTGGGGATTGGGATTTAAGGATTAGGGGTTTAGGGCCTAGGAATGCTCGGGGACCGGGATTGGGGTGTAGGGTTTAGGGATTAGGGGTTTAGTGCCTTTTTTATAGGGGATTGGGGACTGCGATTGGGGTTTTAGGGTTGAGTTTTTAGGGCTTAGGGCCTAGGAATGCAGGCCAGGCCCAAACAGAAGGTCATGTAGGGGCCTTAACAGCTGAAAACAGGGCGTTCATTCCTTTGTGGGCTCCCTGGTGACTGTAAGGCTTGCTATAAGGATTCTGTATGGAAGGCAACCTGAGGGTTTGGAGTTTGAGCTTAGAGTTTGGGGTCGAAAATGTGGGGATTCGACGGTAGTCTTGTAGCTTTAAAAGATTGAGGGTTGAGGTTTCCAAATTCCAAGCGGGGGTCGAGGCTTTGGGTTCAATTTAAGATTCTAATTTGTTGCTTAGGGTAGGCTGTGGGAGGTTTAGAGTTCAGGGTTTAAGGTTTTAGGCTACTGGTATGGTTTCGGCTGCAGGGCTCTAGGGTTTTCGGCTTCAGGGTCTGAGAAATAGCTTCACCCCACACTGTCCAGCTTGGATTGTCAGGTTCTCTCTAGGCCTAGCGGCTTAATAAAGATTGTGTTGATGAGCATCGCGGAGTGTTGCCTCGCTTCGTTCGGTTCTGAAGCGACTGCTTCAGAATGGCTGGCTCCTGCACCCTAAACTCTAAACCTTACACCCCAAAAATTGTGAGAAACCTGCTACCAGTAGAGCTTTCAGCGGGAGGGATCTTCCACGGAGTGCGATCCGAAGACCCTGCCTCCAAAAGCCCTCCTGGGTATCCAAAGCTCTGGCCCTAAAGCCACAGATCCTACCTCTACAAGACGCTACAGCCTTCAATGCATATCCTTTACCAATATCCAGCCTACGACTAAACCTCACACTCTAAATTTTCGAACCCAACGATCTCAAACCCACAGCCTTGTGCAGAGGCGTGAAAAGTTGTAAGGGTCGCTCAAGTATCTGTAGGACAACAGCCTCCCAGAAACCCCAAAACGCGAAACCCTTCACCGTGGATCAAGGCCCCAATCTCAGATCCTGGCAGTCGGAAATCTACACCCGCAATTTTGCTTAAAGCTACAGGGTTCCCGTCGAGGGTCTAGGAATTGGGGTTTAGGGTTGGAGGATGTCCAAACCCCGAATCCCTCAAGCCTCCCACTTGTCGTACAAGACCGAGCCCGATACCCCCTAACCCAGATTTTCCCCAAACCCCAAACCAAACCCCCAAACCCCCTAACCCCGAAACTTCTAAACCCCTAACCCCGAACTCTAAACCCTAAACCCCTTAACCCCTAAACCCCTAACCCCTAACTCTAAAACCCTAAACCCCTTAACCCCTAAACCCCACACCTGGAACTCCAAACCCTAAACCCCGCAGACGTCCAGGGCCCTTGCGATGTTCGCTTCGACTCTAAGGCACTCCGCCTCGTAAAAAGCCGGTGGAAGCTTTGGGGTTTCAGGGTTTGGAGCTTAAGCCTAGAGTTCAGGGTTGGGGTTTAGGGTTTAGGGTTGAGGGTGTAGGGTTGGGGGTTTAGGGTTGAGGGTTTAGGATTGGGGTATAGGGTTTAGGTCATTTTTTGTGAGCTCCTTTTTTTTCCAGGTGCAGCAGAAGCAAAGGGTTTAGGGTTTAAGGGTTTAGGTTTAGGGTTCCGGTTTGGGTTTAGGGTTTGGGATTTAAACGGGTCCGGGCAGCCTTCACTTCACGCTGCCGTGGGGGTTCCATGGCCTTTGGCATGGCCCGTAGATACGATCATTACCTAGACCTCGAGGGTCCCAAACTCCAAACCCTAAACCATTAAAAAAGCACCCAAAAACCTAAGCCCTAAGCCCTAAAACCTACACCACTAAGAAAGGATCCGAGACCTACGTATAGTATCCATTGTAGTTCCTTTTTTGGTTAACCAGGTTTATGGTTAGGATCCTATAATAGAGTTTTTGGTTAACCAAAACAAAGGAACTACAATGGAGAGTATAGGTAGAGTTTAGGAAGCACAGTGGCAGACGCAGTTGTGGTTGAAATGTAGAAGTCGTTGCTCCATGCTCCATGCAATCTCCGTACCAACAACCACCAGCCACTCCCCAATTCCACGACAGAAGTTTGAAAGACTTCTGGCTTCTTCGGTGGTGTCCAAAGCTACAGTAGAATCCACAACAATCGCATCCGGAATTAATACTTGTATATGCCTCTGCATTGCACCCGGGCTACTAAATCCCCAAGACCCTCAAATCCCACCCACGGATCGACTTGGGATCCCGGCGTATGGGAATCTGCATAAGCCTTCACCTGTCCGGTCAGGACGATTGGGCAATCCCCGAAGCAACCTGCTACTGATCATCTTGAAATGCTCTTAAAGTCCCACACGAAAACCAACAGCATCTACTTTTGAGTTTGGAGTTAAGGCTAGAGTTTAGGATTTCTAGATTCTGCAAACTAAATGATGAAACTATGAACGACCCGACCGCTTTGCTTGTGCGGCTAGAACCTAACCCCCAAGCCCAAAACCCTGTGCCACGAAATCCCCGACCTGTAAACTCCCAAACCCCTAACGACCTTGATCCTTCCCTGCTCTACCCCCAAGCCCAAACACCTTCAACCCGAACCCTCCTACCTCCACAATCTAATCGAGCCCCTAGAACCCGTAACGTGTAGAGGGCCTACAACATCTTGTCCGAACCTGTACCAACCCTTTCCAAACACTCAACAACCCCCAACCCTAAACTCCAAACCCTGACCTGAATCCTAGACTCTAGACTCAGACCCTACACCGCAGACCCGAAAACATAAACCTGAGGCCCTACAATCCTGGCTCCGAAACCCAGGTTCCCCCGTGACCCCTTTGTAAGGTTTGAGGTTTAGGGTTTAGGGGTACCTCAAGTCTCGAAGAGCTTTCATGTCATGAAGGGGAGCCAGATGAGTCTTCTGGTTTCCCAGAATGACCCCTTGCTAAGAAGGGTAGGCTTGAGTTCAGGAGACCCCAAAATGGAAAGGGCAAAAGGGTACTACTGGGGAACTTACTAGGCAACCCGCAACCCTGAACCCTAAAACGCCTAACCCTTAACCCCAAAAGCGCATTACTAGGGAATCGCTCTTAACGGCTTTCTTTGGGGCCAACTCCAAAGCACTGGGGCCTTGAGGTGCCTGGCGTAAATGGTGACCGTGCTGCCTACCTCCGCGGCTTCAGGAAAAGGTTGAGGGTTTAGGGTTCAACGGGTTACAGTCTAGGGTTCAAGGGTTTAGGCTTGAAGGGTTTAGTGTTCAGGGTCTAGGGTTCAAGGGTTTTGGCTTCAGGGGTTTAGGGTTTAGGGCCTCACCCTCCCAGGGTTTTGGAAGAAAGGTTGAGGGGTGGGAAAAAACGGAAGCGGTGCGGGGGGAGGTTGGTGGGCTTGGGTTTAGCGCCCCTTGCTGGGATACGCACAAAAAGAGCATGACACGCTTACATTACAGCAACTATCCTAATGTTGGAACCTGAATTAAAGCAACCCTGGCCCTCAGTCCCCAAAATATCAGGATTCATACAAACATCCCTAATTCAGATCATGCTCCTATACTAAACCCCAAAACCCCTAAACCCTTTGAGTACCCCTGTAGATCCCGTTTAAAGAACCCTTACAGTTCCTGTATTGTATAAACGCCGACTTGGGATTTGGAGTCTTCGCGCGGAGGACCGGCGGTTCGCGAGGGCGTCGAGCTGATGCTTGAGAGCTTTGCGTTTCAGAGCTTTGGGGCTTAGACTTTTGGGCTTTGGGATCTGAATGGGTTTGGGGTTTAGGATTAAGGGTTTAGGGTTTAGCGTTTTGGGGATCGGTTCAGATCTGCGATCTAAAAACTTCGCCGTAGCGTTCTACAAGAGCCCCATAAGGGTCCTATAAGGTCCGAGAGGGAAACCCGGAGCGCCACCTCAAAACACATCCGAAAAGGCATGCCGAAAACTCTGGCAGATCCCGTCAAAGCAAGCAATGCCAGAAGGGACCAGCGACATGTGGGCTCTAGCACTGCCATCCTTACATGCCCCCAAGCTGGGAGTTTCGCAAATAGGACACTCTAACATAGTACCCTAGATAGTAGGATCCTGATTATAAGGACCCAAAAATCAGGTACCCCTAATTCTCGGAAACTCTAGACCCTAAACCCAAAATAGAAGCCTTGTGGATCCCTTTCAGGAACCCTTATAGATCCCTTCAAAGGTACCCCTAAGTCTCGGAAACTCCCAAGCCGCGGACCGTCAGATCCTCAATCTTCAAGTCAGGAATCGGCGTCTGGCCGGCATGAAAAACAAGGGAAAATGTCAGGGCTTCGGAAGGGTTAAGGGGTTTAGGGTTTAGGGGTTTAGGGTTTAGGGTTAAGGGGTTTAGGGTTTAGGGGTTAGGGCTAGGACTGAGCTTGCGCGCTAGCATTTTCCCTAAACCCCAAACCGGACATGCAAAGCCCTAAATCCCAAACCCCAATCCGTAAACGCTTAACGAAAGCCCTGAACCCGAATGCCAAAAGCCCAAAGAGTAATCTAGGTGCCTTAATAATTCGAATGGAGTTTTGGAGTACCTCATAATTAATAGTAAACCCCCAAACCCCCAAAACCCTAAAACCAGAAAAAACCCTAAACCCTCAAAACCCCTAAAACCCTAAACCCTCAAAACCCTCAAAACCCTCAAAACCCTAAAAACCCTAAAAACCCTAAACCCTAAAAACCCTAAACCCTGAAACCTTAAAACCCTAAAACCCTAAAACCATAAAACTCTAAAACCCTCAAGATATCTCCAAAATCTCTAAGGGCTCTGGGGCCGCGGGCCCGCTTCAGGAAGCTCCGATGGGCTTTCGGATCCTCGGCTTTCAGCTTTGGGGGCTTTTGGGGGGTTCCCTTTTAATGGGTTTAGGGTTTAGGGTTTAGATTTTAGGGCTTTGGGGTTTCCTTTTTGATGGGTTTAAAGTTTAGGGTTTAGGGTTTAAGGGGGCTTTGGGGGGGTTCCCTTTAACTGGTTTTGGGGTTTTGGGCTTTAGGATTACTTGTAGGGTTTTAGCGCGTTTGGAGTTCCATTTAATGGGTTTAGGGTTTGGGGTTTAAGGTTGTGGCTTCAGGCTTCTCTTTTAAGGGTTTAGGCTTTGGGGTTCCCTTTAATGGGTTTAAGGTTGTTTAAGGTTTAGGGTACCCTAAACCCTAAACCCAATAAAGGGTTTAGGGTTTTGGGATTCGGGGTTTCCCTTTACAGGGTCTAAGGTTTGGGATTTAGGCTTTCCTTCTAAGGGTTTCGGGGTTTAGGCATCCCTTGAAGGCTTCAAGGTTTGGGCTCTCTTTAAGGGTTTAAGGTTTAGGGTCAATGATTTCGGGCTGTAGGGCTGAGGATGAGAGTTTCCTTTCGGGGTAGTAGAAGGGTTCCTTTAAGGACTTGCAAGGTTCCCTTTAAAGGGTTTTAATGTTTAGGGGTTCGGGTCTAGGGTTTAGGGCTTGGTCTACACTTACGGCTAAAGCTTCCCCCCAAGGGGCCGTCAAGACAAATCTGTAGACACACCTGCACTCTCAAATCTAAACCCTAAAACCCTGAACCCTAAAAACCCTAAACCCCTAAACCCCGAACCCCGAACCCGTGAAGAACCCTCTGAGAGAGACTGGGACCGGCACGTACATCGCGACCTCCAGAGGCCCCTTGTGCGGCTTGAAGACAGTAAGCTGATACCTGACACAGTTTAGGACCTTTGGGACTTAGGGTTTAGGGGTTTAGGGTTTAGGGTTGAGGGCCTTTTCAGAGGCTCCTTGGGTTCCCGTGAGGAATCTATAAGGCTTGAGGGTTTGGGCTTCAGGGCTTTCGGGCTCAGGGTTTAGGGTTGTTGAAACACGACAGGGCTTTTAAAACGAACAACTTTTGCAAACCCCTCAGTGAGCTGATACCCTAAACCCAAACCCTAAACCCCAAAACACCCTAAACCCTAAACCCTAAACCCCTAAAACCCTGAACCCTAAACCCCTAAAACCCTAAAACCCTAAACCCTAATAAACCCTAAACCCTAAACCCCTAATAAACCCTAAATTAAGGCTTTGGCGGTTTAGGGTTTAGGGTTTTTTGTTTAGGGTTTAGGGTTTAAGGTTTCGGGTTAGGGTTTAGGGTTTAGGGTTTACACTCCGAAGTTCGGACAGAATGGGCTTAGGATCCTTTTCTGTTTAAGGTGCTTACGGTTTAGGGTTTGGGCTTTGGGGTCTAAGGGCTTAGGATTTGGGCTTTGGGGTTTGGGGGGTTTAAGGGGTTTAGGGGGTTTGAGGTTGAGGGGTTTAGGGTTCAGGGTTTGGGGTTTAGGGGTGTTTGGGATTAGGGTTGGCGTCTGGCACCCTCTGCACAACACCGCAACCCCTCAATCGTAGTAGAATAAGCTTAGATCGGTTTGCGGCCCGACATCCCACATCCCAACACCCCGAACCCGTAATGGCAAAACCTTTGATCTCTAGCCTTTTCAGTAAAGCCCTAAACCCTAAGCCATAACCTCACACCCTCGTTGTTTTTAAGGATTATATTCACTGAAACGATGACATGGACCGACAACAAAGCAGTCTGAGATCCGCGCTCACGCATGAGATCAGCCTGGCTCCAGGGATGGATCTTATCTCTTATAATAGGTTTTGGGGGACAAATATAAGAATTAGGATTTGGGGATTAGGATTTCGGGTTTAGGGTTTGGCGATATATCAAGTAGAACTATGTGAGGACTGTCAGAAAATGGGCAGGCAGGTCATCTCCGTTGGGGTTCTGGGGTCTGTTTTTTAGGGGAGGGCGGTTTGGATACGGGTTGTTTCTTGGGGGTGCTGCTGTCTGGAGGCTTTGGGCTTAGGGTTTAAAGTTTTCGGGTGGAGTTTACGGCAGTGGCAATGGAATCAAGGGCGGGGGTTTACAACAATAACCTTGTACGAGATGCTATTTGTGTCCCATTGGCAGCTGCAGGTGCAACTGCGTCTACCGCATGGGCAAGATGGAAGACCTATGATCGGGACCTCCCACTACATTCCGCAGAAGGATATCACTCGAATGAATTTCGGCATCATCCTATTGACGACAGCATCCTTTCATAAGATCGTCATGAAAACGACGACAACCACGTCATCATCATCATCACCGTCAACAGTAGCATGACTATGTATATATATATATATATGTATATACATATATATATATATATATACGTATTCACCATCGTCACCGTTGCTGTCATCACCATCCTCATCATCATCACCACCAGCCTAAGCATCGTCGTCATACAGCTGGCAGCCGTCACCATCAACAGAAAATCCGAACATGTCCCTTCATCAGCGACCTCATCCTTCTCACCATCATCATCATCACCGTCAAGAGCAGGACCATCATCACATAGTGAAATGGACTTACACTGGTCCCGAAGATCGAACAACCACCGCGATCGTTATGCTGCGGTACGACGACAAGAGCACTTTGAAATCCTGAAACCGTACACCCTCGTCTTAAACCGCCACCGAAAGGTTGTCACGAGCCTGAGCGTCATACCGCTCCACAACGAAGCCAAAGTTCTCACTGTCCATACCTGATCAGACTGACCACTCACAATGCGCCGAAGTTATCCGCGAACGGCCCCAATCTACTAAATCGCATGTTCGGGATGCAGGGTCAGTATCGCCAACGGGGTGGACGCTCCGGAAGCCCTGTTGCAGGTAGCGCACTGTCGAAATGCGCGAAGGCGCGCACTCCACAAAGGTTCAACTACTTGAGCCAACACAAATGGGTAGGGCCATGCAACCGGCAGTCCAGGCAGGTTATATACTATACATATGTATGTGTGAATGTATGTGTGTATATATCTACATAAAGATATGTATCTACCTACATTGAGATCTATGTTTAATTCTATTTCAAAATTTTTCACACACATACACTACCATATCTCCTATGTATATATATATATATATGCAAACATCTACATACATACAGCTAATACATATGCTATACATATGTAAAAACACATACTACATATGCTATATGCATGTAGACTATACAGGCTACACTCTCTGCGTATGTGTATATATATACATACATATACACAGATGTGATTACAAGACATACTGTATATACATATACATATATATATATATATATGTATATACAGTATATATACATATACATTTATATATACACACAGTATATATACAATATATATATATATATATATATATACATGTACACATATGGTATGATAGGTAGATAGATGGATTTATGAACAAACAGAAAGGGTGTGTATACATATGCGCACTATGTACAGCATACAAATTGAAGATACTGTTTATACAGTATACGCTTGTGCACACGCTGAATAAACTGTACACTTTGCAAATACAACGTACATGTTATAGTGAGTACATACATAGATATAGTAGTTCTACATGCATATAATAAACATAGTATGAAAAAACATAGTCTGAAAACTTTTTAAACTATAAACACTACACAGACTGTATACACTATACTGTAAGAACTATAATATATATGTATGCTAGTGTACATGCATAACCTGGTTGCACTATGACGTACAATCTGAAAATATGTGTATATACACATGTGGTGCACGTTGTACATGTACAAAAATGCTGCACGTGCAAGCCATGTAATATACAAACATAGGCAGACATCTCTATATATATATATATATATACATTTACTGTATACATACATACATACATGCATACATAAGTATATACATGAATACATATATATATATGTATATGTATATATATATATATATATATATATGTGTCTGTCATATTCCGAATATACATATATATATATATATATACACACATGCACGTGTAAATGCAGGTTCATATACATATACACACACCTAACTGGAAAAAGAGATACGTATACCTTTATATATGTGTGTGACTTACAGTAGATTCAATATCAAACTTATATGTTCGCTGTAAATCAAAAATGTATGTGCTCTATATATAAAAACAGACCATTTACAGTTCTTTGTACACACTCGTGTTGTTGGCTGACGTGTTTGCCTATCTATTTGCCGACAAATGCAGATGATAGACACCCTTCCTCAGGCAAGGTTCTTTTCCGTGCACTCCACGCCATGAATTCGGGCTACGTGGGAGCTCGGCCAAGCTTGGATGTGCAGTGTAACGAGGACCGGGAAAACAAAATGGCGGATGATTAGAAGATTAGCAATGATTGCTCGAAAGAGTCCAGCTAGGTTTGCTGCTGGGTATTGGACTTGTTTAGAACTCATAGGCTTTATTATGCCCAGTAAGAAACGCTTATCTGTTTAAGTAACACAAGACTTGGCAAAGAAATGCTAGTAGCTGATTGCAGTAGGGTCTAAGGGGAGCGAATACTATACTTCTTACAACTACTTTCAATTTTTTGCAATTATACGGGAAGTCTAGGGTTTAGGTGGCAAGCAAATTCGCCTTGCATCTGTCTAGAGATCAGGCAAAGGAGATAGGTAGTCAGATGTCAGCAAGGCGAGTGTTCAACGGCTCGTTGCTTGCTCCCTTGACTCTTCGGCTAGATCAGTTGAAATTGCCGAACCTGTTTGCTCCACAGCTACAGTTGCTAGTGCTTTCCTCCTGCGCATGCTAGCATGCCAACAGTCCAAGATGTATTGATGCCGTCGGGCCTACGCATATTGGTGCTGGTAGTGAGCTGGTGCCATAAGCATTTCTCTGCATGCTGTTCCTGCTGCAGGCATGCACTCATGCTTCGCTGAAGTGTTTCGCTTCTTCGCAGGTGTTGTATGGACTATGCACCATGCGCTACTTGTCTTGCTAGCTGCTCGACAGCTTCCAATTTCCTGTGTCCTAGTAGCGCTTTGCATTCCCACTGCGTGTGCTGATGCTAGTATTCGAGTCTCCCTAGAAGCCGAAAAAACACCGTGCTGCGCTAGGGCCGCTGGGGGAGCATTGCACGAATTGCGGACGGCGAGCCGCCCTGAGCTGCCAAAACATCAACACCGATACGCGAAACGGGAATCAGACACACTCCGACCCCTAGTATACAACACCCCAAACCAAACATCAGAACATACCGAAGACAAAAAACGACGTGCAAATTCAGATCTACGATCGCTCCTCCGCCAGCACGGCGGGCCGGGTCACGCCTTGGGGGGCTTCCATCGAAAGGCTGCGAATCTAGGCCCTTCATCATAAGACTAGGGATGAATAGGGCTCCTTTACTTTTTTGCAGGGTTCTGTGAGGTATCTGCTTTGAGGCTCTATGATACGATACTTAGAACAGAGCTTGGGTGTATGCTATGGTTGTATTGAGAGACCCTCAGGAAGAACGTTTTGGTATTTATTCAAGCCCACATATGACCCAGACACTCCAAAACTCCATTCATTGAGGAATATAGGAGTTTCCTGAAATAGGGGGCCCTAATACAGTATCCTTATTATATGGACCCCAAAATAAGGTACCCTTAATTGTCGGAAACTCCCATATTTCAGAACCATTACTGAAGCCTGCCCCCGATACTTCCGAACCCTAACCCCCATACCCTCAACGCAAAAGTCCTAAACCGCAAGCCCTCTTACACCCCAACCCGTAGACTGCGATCCCTAAACCCTAACCCTAAGCGAGTTATGGGTGGGCTGGTTTACGGGCTTTCCGTTTGGGGTATAAGGTTTGGGGTTTAGGAAATTTAGCTTAGGCTTCAGCCGCTTCTGTTGCGAGGGGTTCGTCTTGTCTAAAGCCTGGGCCGTGAACACTAAAACCTAAACCCAAAACACACCCTAAACGCCTTTAGAAGCCCTTGCAGCACTACCTTAGGGTTCCTTTAGAAGGTTGCTAGAAGGGTACTATAAGGGTTCCTTTAAAGAGCTCTATAACGGTTTAGAGTTTGTTTAGTAACCCTCACCCTCATATTACCCCTCGCGTAGCTGCACGGCTCCTGCCAAGCGTCTGTACATTTCCCGGACCTCCGCCGGCTGTTCGGAGCAAAGTCGAGCCTTCTTCGGGCCTGCAGGGGAGACTTACCTTTGGTTAGTAGGTACCCTAAACCCCTAAAACCCTAAAACCCTGAAATCCCTAAACCCCTAATCCCCTAAACCCCCAAAACCTCTAAAACCCCTAAAACCCTAAACTCCAAACCCCGACACCCCCAAACCCCCAAACCCCTAAACCCTAAACCCCCAAACCCCCAAACCCCTAAACCCCAAACCCCCAAACCCCTAATCCCTAAACCCCTGAACCCTATTTTAAGGGGGTTCGGGACTTCGAGGTTGAGGGCTCTGGGTCCCCCCCCTGTCAAGTGGAGGATCCGAATGTAAGCTGCCATAATAGGGTTTAGGGGTTTAGGGGTTTAGGGGTTCAGGGTTTAGGGGTTTAGGGGTTTAGGGTTTAGGGTTTAGGGGCTTAGGGGCTTAGGGAAGAAGGAAACCCTGTAATCTGCTGTAGATCGGTATTATGGTTACGGTATCTTTTGTCACCATGTTACGGAAACCCTATTATCTACTTAGATCCCTATGATGGTAACTTGAACTTAGATCCTCAACAAGTATCCAGCCTGCACGTGTAGGCTTCTTGTTCAGGACATTCATGCAAATTACCCTAACAGTACATCTTATGGTTTGTTACCATGGCCCACTTAAACCAAATTCCCAAACAACAGCCCAACTCCTAAATCCTAAACCCCTAAACCCTAAACCCCTAAACCCCTAAACGCCTAAACGCCAAGCCCCTGAACCCAGCCTTCAAGTGCAGGCTGATGTCAGTCCGGCGGCACAGGTCGGCCATCCACGCGTCGCAGGCCGCTCGGTCCTGCCCGAACCCGCCCAAGAGAGCCGGCAGCCTTGATAGTTAGAACCCTAGATATTCCTTAATAACGGTTTAGGGTTTAGGGTTTAGGGATCTATAAGGGTACCTTTAAGGGGTTCCTTTAAGCGATCTGTAGGGGTTTAAGGTTTAGGGCTGATGGTATAAATCCTGCATTACCTTAAGGACCCTAAACTATGGGAATAATGGTATATTCCTTACTATGGGTAATGTTAGAACCCTAAATATTCCTTAATTAGGGTTTATAAACCCTGAACAAGATTATAGGATTATAGCATTTAGGAATTAGGGATTAGGAATTAGGGTTCAGGGTTTGGGTTTAGGGTTTACCTGAACCCTAAGGAACCTACCTTTTGAGGGTTCCCGAGTATCATTTCTTTATATAAGTCCTTAAAACGGTAGGTTATTTGGGGTTAAGGTAGGGTAATGTTATGAAATAATCTCTGGACATATTCTCTAAAGGGTTTCGGGTACTTTAATGAAAGAATCTCTCGATATAATCTCTATAGGGTTTAGGGTAGTTTTATGAAAGAATCTCTCGATATAATCTCTTTAGGGTTTAGGGTAATTTTAAAAAATAATCTCTCGATATAATCTCTAGCGGGTTTGGGGTAATACTATGATATTATCTCTCTTAGGGAACCCGACAAGCCTCACGAATAATTTTGGTGAATATTTGTTGGGGTGTCTATGCCAAGCCGCAGTGCCTGAAGCCGTAAACCATGATCAAAAACCATACATTACCCCTGTCAACCATGTGCGTTGTCTCATGACGGTTTAAGCTTGAGGATTATGCCTTGCTTGAGGATGACCCCGGCACTCCTGCGAGTAGCGGCAGTGCCTGAAGCGGCAGAGAAAGGCTTGTGGCTCTTGCTTGTAACCTAGAACCCCAACGCTATACCCCCAAATCCCAAACGCTAATTCCCAAACCCAGACCCTAAACCGGAAATTATAGGACGCGGGGCCTGTTGGCGTCTCCTGAACCCTGAAAGTTCGAGGCTTCGGATGTCAGGCGGTCGCAGGGTTTCTTTTTGTGCCAAGCCTTCTGCCCTGCACCCTGAACCCTAAAACCCTACACCCTAAAACCCTCAAAGCCCTAAAACCCAAAAAAACCTAAACCATAGAGCCAACCCTAGAACCTGAAAGCCCAGCGAGAGAAAGCTGGGCAGAGGGCAGACAAGGAAGAAGCTGTGGCATGTCGCCATCTCGCACGCCCGTTTCCTGCAGAAGGATCACGGACTTAGTAACGAGGGTTAGAAATCAGGTAGCTACACTTACAATTGCTTATAACTCCAATTAAGGTACTTATGACCTAATTTACTAAGTCCCCTGATCCTCCAAATAGGGCTGTGGTTTCGAAGGCTGCGGGGACTGTAGAGGCTGGGATGCAGGATTTCGGTCAAGCAAGCGCATCACTTTCTTTCTACCAACACCGAGGAGCCATTCTAAGCGCCAATCCCTAAACCCCTAAACCCTAAGCCCTAAACCCCTAAACCCTAAACCCCTAAACCCCTAAACCCCTAAACCTCCAAACCCTAAACCCCTAAACCTTCTTGACGGAGGTGGATTATCCAGCACTTCGCGTTTGCAGGCAACCGCTCGGCAAACAAACGACTACTTTCTATCATGCTATGAAGTTCTTGGCGAAACGCCACGGCATTGAATTTCAATTGAGCAGGTCTAAGTCTTTGGCGGTTTACGGTTGCCACGAGATGGTTCCTACTTGGAGGATCATGGGACTTAGTAAGTAAGGTTATAAGCACCCTAATTAGGGTTATAAGTATAGTTACCCTAATTATAACCCTAGTTACTAAGTCCCATGATCCTTTGAGTAGTCTGTCTTCAGTGCCACGCTGTCTCAGATCGGCGGGGCAGTCTCCGGTCCATTCGTTGTTAGGTGCTTGGAAATGCTCGAGTGCCATGAGAAATGTTTTTGGCCCAGATAAGGAGCCTATGGAGTGTCCGATAGCGTACGTGTCCCCACAAGAGGTGTGGAACAATTATTGTAAAGGTGGTCGGTCCCGTCGCCGTGCGAACGCAGGCTACTTCGTAATTTGTACATCTAAATCTTCTGGCTAAGGATCCAGGCGTGGCTCTCGCTCGGATTGTCTGCTGACTGCTCGCATAAACTCCTAAACCCCTAAACCCCTAAACCATAAACCCCTAAACCCCTAAACCCCTAAACCCTAAACCCCTAAACCCCTAAACCCCTAAACCCCTCAACCCCTCAACCCCTAAACCCCGAAACCCCTACACCCCTAAACCCCTAAACCCCTCAACCCCTCAACCCCTAAACCCCTAAACTCTAAACCCCAGCACTTTGGTCTTGGATCGGTTTCCTTCCCTCCAGGGCACGAATTCCGAGGCGCAATCGTTGGGGCAAGACCCAAACTTTAAAACCTCAGCCCTCACACTCCCAGAAACCCCACCAAAATCCGATTGAAACGGTAAACCCCAAGCCCCGAAACCATGAATCTTATACCCTCAATCGAAGGATATAATGATATAACATGGGTCTTATACCCTCAATCCAAGGATATATTATGGGGCCCTGTATAACTAGAACGTGGCTTTGGGAAATTTTAGTTTAGCTAGACTAAGGGGCTAGAAGGAATAATGTTGGTAATGCTTCTGGCTTCCGTATTCACGCGTCACGATTTCAAGGATCCTTCAAGTAAGTATAGTAGGAGATTCCTGCGCAAATTACCCTATACGCTAAACCCCAAAAGACATGCGAAAACACGAAGACTTGAAGCCACGGCCTAAGACCTAAGATCTTTCTTCAAGGAGACGAAGACTTTCTTAAAGAGACCCCTCAACCATAAAGCCCCAGACCCTCAAACTTAAAGCTTAAGCCCCAAAACCGCAATTCCGGAACCCTTAAACACAAGACCCCAAGAATACTAAACTTTAGAAGGGGCCCCCACCCCGTCATAGTGGCATAATAGGAATATAATAGGGCCCTAATATAATCCTTGTAGTCACTATTAAAGGGTGGGGGCGGCTTCTAAACTAAACTCCACTCCCCAAGCCGCAACCCTAAACCCTAAACCGCTAAACTCTAAACTCCAGGCCCTTAAACCTTTTAAAATCAAGCAGCCCACGAAACAGGGCCTCGCCATCTGTCCCAAAAACGGCCCCGTAGAGCCCAAAAAAGCTCCCTACATACTGGCTGTGCAAACGGGGTTTCCGAAAACAGGGGTACCTTATTTTGGGGTCCTTGTAATAAGGATCCTACTACTAGTATTTAGGGTACTATATTAAAGTCCCCTATTTTCAGCCCCTTAAAACAAAATCCCCAAGAAACTACCGACTTAGAAAAATCAGTGAACAGAGGGACCTGAAGCTCCTCTGCTTTGCCGGCCTCTTCCTGTTTTGGCCGTGGGATCTGGGCTTAGGTTTTAGGTTTTAGGGTTTAGGGTTTGGGCTTGGGGTTTAGGGTGTGAGGTTTAGGGTTTAGGGTTTACGGGGTCTCTGTAAGGGTTCCTTCTACGGTTTCCTGTTTGAGGCTCCTTTGGAATGTCCTTCTAAAGGGGTCCTTCTAACGGTTCCTTTGAAGAGTTCCAGTACCGGCTCCGTAAAGGGGCTATGATGGTCTAGCGTGTAGCATGTAGATTTAAAGTTTAGACCACGGCCAAGACCGCCACCACTGGGACCAACGTCAACGTTCCCTTTACTGGTGAGATTTGGAGTCTGGATGCACGACTTCAGGGAGTCTCATAGTGCAGTCCTGGCATTTGAGACATTTCGACCGTTTCGACAGCAAAAACGCCCACCGCATCCGGGGATGCGGTCCCCGCAGGAATGTGGAAATAATCCGACTTGGATCCAAAATGCGCACCGCACCACAGCGGGAGCCGCGGAACCGCCGAGCGCGCATCCCTGTCGTCAACACCTCTCTACACCGAACGCAGAATGCAAGACTCACAACCATAGCCGTTACCACAATGATGTGGGGGTCTCCGAAAATAGAGGACCCTAATATAGCACCCTGAATAGTAGGATCCTTACTATAGGGACCCCAAAATACAGTACCCCGAATTTTCGGAAACTTCCATTTGGGAACTTGAAGATCGAACTGCCAGTCGCCAACCCTCAGCCCGACACGAAGCATCATAAACACGAAGCGTCAGGAACAAAAGTTCACTGACTATGGCTCAACTCCTACACCCTATACCCTGCGCGTCTACGTATACATAAATAGTATATATATATATATATATATGTATAAGCATGCATGTATTTATCTATGTTTCTAACGGCATACTCCCTGTCCAGAGCCTCCACGCACCAAACCTTGCTCAGGCTCGCTACGAAAGCCAAGTCATCCTCGATGTCCTGAGTCGCACTTCAAGGCGATGGCAATGGCTTTGGGGAGACATGTGGGTGGTTGTCAAAATTACGGCCCCTTTTTGGGGCCCCTTATATAGTACGGCAGATATTATTTAGGGTACCCAAAAGGGACCCTAAGTTTGACAACTACCCACATGTACTTTACCGGATTCAGGGGCTTATCTACTCGGAATTTCAAATCAAGGAAGGGTTGGAAGAAACTGCGAACTCCTTCGGGTCCCCTTACACGAAGGGACTATCGTATGTTATGGTATATTACAATAGCTTCTGGATACTATAGTAGACTGTAATAGATTCTAGTGTATTGAAATATAGTATGATCCTATTCTATGTAGTAGACTGTATCTAGTATACTATAGTACATTGTAGTATAGTATAATTTTTTTCGTATTTTATGAGCTTCAAGGACTTCGATGTTTTGGCTCCCAGAGTCGCGCAGCAGGCCCGGGAATTTGCCGAAAGTCGGCCTAATTTACGGGCCTTAATAATTTGTCTCGGGTTTGGGGCCGCATGATACCATAATTATGACAAGGAACACCCAAAATAGTATTGGTAATTATTTAGGCCCCCGTATTAGCCAGTCCCGCCAAACACTGCAAAGATCGCAGACAAAGACCATTGATAAAGGGGGGTTCGAATACTTATTTAGGGAACCCCCTTGGAGCCCCTGACATAACTCATAACCGTATTCCCCTCAGGGCCCCTAATATAAGGTATAACTGTGCAGCATAACATGCCGTAGCTCTGCTTCGGGCTGGGCTCTCCCCCCCACCCTTTTTTCTGGTCCCCCGGCCGGACGTTTCGGTGGAGAACTCAAGCAAAACGACAAACCGTTCAAAAGGAGGGAGAACCGAAACAGCACCCCAAAAGCGTCGGCTTCGGCGACCTGCCATCTCCCCTTCGGAATTGAAAGCTCTGGCTCCTTTGCTTTGGACCGGGACCGAAGACCTGGATCATGGTCTCCTGGCTGGGCGGATACACCACACCCTCCTTCCGTGCGATCTGATCCAGCTGAACACCCAGCTTGATCACCTCGATCATCAGATTCTCCTGCATCCTCACCTGCGCGATATTGCCACGAGTAACCTTTCGATTCTGCAGATCCTCCGAGATCTCGTCTATGAGACCCTTGTCGCATCCACACTTCGGCTGGATGATGCCTCCGTCTGTCTCCACCTTGAAGCAGCTCCCACAACAAATCGTCTCGACATCCACCGAGCCTAGTTGGGCATACGGCATCCTCATCGTGCTCGTCGCGCAGAAATCCTTCTTGGTAAGCGTCACCTCCTCCTCTCCCAAGTGCAGGCGCTGCGTTTGCCAGCCAGCGAGACCAAGAGACCTCAAAAAGATGCAACAGGACTCAAGGTAGTTCGTGATCCTAAACCCTATAAACCCTAAACCCTAAACCGTAGGACTCAAGATAGACAAGGGGCCTCAAACAGATGCAACAGGACTCAAGATAGTTCGTGACGCTGTAGTCCTTCTCCCCATGCTGCTCGGAGGGCCCCAGATGGACCTCCAAAATAGTATGGGTAATTTAGGCCCCCTATATTAAACCCCCATAATACCCCTTAAAGTCATCCTAAACCCTAAACCCTAAACCGTCATGGATCCCTTTAAAAGGTACCCCAGAATGCCCTCCTCTCCCAAGTAGCCCTCCGTCGCCGAAGGCAACGTAAACCCGTGGCCATACTCTGACACCATGGTCTCCTGGGAGTTTCCGGCAATTAGGGGTACCTTATCTTGGGGTCCTGATACTACGGATCCTACTCTTTACGATAGTATATGAGAGTCCTCTAATTTTCGGAAACTCCCTCCTGCGAGGGCGGATACTCCACATCCAGCTTCTTCAGAACGCTGGAAGTACGCACACTCAGCTCCAGAGCATTGAGCATGGTGTTCTCTTGGTTCCTCAGTTGTGCGATGTCGCCACGCTTCACTTTTCGCTGTTGCAGCTCATTCGCCAGGTCCGCGACCTTGACTCCCTGGCATCCGCAACCGGGAATGATTCCATTCACGCCTCTGCAACAGTAGCAACACCGGTCTTCGTCGACAGAGCTGATCTGCGCATAAGGCATGCTGTTCAAGTTCTCACTGATGCAGTTGCTGCTCTTTGTGATGACTTTATCATTCTCCAACCTCATGGTGTCCTGCTGTGTCAAGCAGCAGCACAAGGACATGCAGTAGTTTGTCACCTCGAACTCCCGCGTCGGGAAGTCTTCCGATGGCTTCAAGTGAGGTCTGATGGGAGGCAGCCCCATGCCTTCAGGAGGATACTGCATGTCCAAACCGAGCTCGTGCTGGAACACCTGCACCAGCAGCCTGAGATCATCCACTTTGCACATGATGCTCTCGAGCTTCTTCATCTGACCGATGTTCCCGCGGATCTCAATGCGACGCTTCAACTCATCCACAATCTGGGTAATGGTCTCTTCGTCGCAGCCCATTCCGTTAGAGATTGGCTCCTGGATGAGCTCTCCGACTTTCATGCTCACACAACAGCCGCAAGCCGTCTCCTTCTCTACGTCGTCGATCTGTGCATAGGGGCGTCGCTCGATCATGCTCGCGCGACCCAGCCCACGCGTCGTGCGAATCACAGCCTCATCGGGGCCTAGCTCGATCGTGCGGCTGAGGCAGCTGAGAAGTTCGCAGCAGCAGACCACGTGCCAGGCTTGCGTGTCAAACTTCACTTCTTCCTCCGGATTGTAGAGCTCCGCGAAGGTCTTGAATGCCGGAGCTCCTTCTGGGAAGATCTTCGCCACTGTCGATGCAGGAGGTGGCCACTGGATACCACGCTTCGCCATGATCAGCGGCAGCTCGGCCGTGAGTTTCGTCATTTGATCGAGCAAGAAAGTCTGCTGCTGCCGCTGGGCGGTGTCGCCTCTTCCCTCCATCCGGGCTCGCAGCTCGTTGCAGATCTCCTCTGTGTATGGACGGTCCACGCCAAAGAAGGGTCGGATGCCACCCTCGCCTTTCTCGTTCACACGCTCCAAGTTGGAGCTCATGGCCACACAGAGACCGCAGCAGGAGTCATGCAGCTCCACGGAGCCCAGCTGTGCGTAAGGCCGCTTTTGGGTACCAGAGCAGCAGAGATTCCGTCGCTTGTACAGAACCTCCTCGCTTTGCAACATCAGCGACTTGCTCTGCCACCCCATGCAGGGACACCAGAAAAGCAGGCAGAAGCTTTCGATATAGTTTGTGACATCATACCTCTTCTCGGGGAAACGCTGCATCAAGTTCTCCATGGCTCTTCAAGTATTCAGTCCTGCCGATGCCGCAGCTTTGGCGGCATTGAAGGAGCCAGGTCAGGTCCCAAACAGACTAACTTGAATCAATGTGGCCGCATTGATGTGAATACTGCTACCACTCAGCATCATGAACTCTTCAAAGATCTGCATTTGGGTGTTCCGCGAGACCCTGACATCACAGCCCAGGTATCGAAATCCCTCTCCCAAGAAGTGCTACCAAAGAGCCCACGCACCCCACGGCTCCTCAAATGCTATTCCGGAACTAAGCGGTCTGCAAAAGCCTCATGTCTCGCGAACCCTGAAACTGTAACCCGCTCAAACGCTGCCCTTTGGAGGCCGTTGGCAGACACGAAAGCCTGAACACGTAAAACCAAAGACACTGACCCACTTCCCGGAACCCCAAGCCCTGACACCTAAACCCTAAACCCCAACGAAGAAGCTGGAACTCTGAAAGGAGCGCTAAGCGTCCTCGAGCAAGCGCACCATGCGATCTGCCTGCGCGAGATGCTCGGTGAGGAAACCGAAGCTGAAGCTTAATATCCAGTTTCTGGAGCCCAGCCCGACTGCGGTGTAGGGTTGAAGGCTTAGGGCCATCCTTCCGTCCACGACTTAGGCCTGTTTTTCCCCTCACCCCCACGCCTCCCAGCCCCGCCCCATGCCGACGTCAGAACTAAGTTCGAGAAACCGAGACATCAAAATGTTGGGGTTCAGGGTTTGGGATGGCTTGCGGTTTAGGGTTTTTTGGGTTTAAGGGTTTAGGATGTAGGATTTTAGGTTACCCAAACCCTGAACCCCAAACCCCAAATGTTTTTGGCGCGCCCTGTTGATGTGTTGAAGATCCCTAGAAATTCTTTTCTGTGCGAGCAACAAACCCCACCCGGCCCCCGGTTGCGTGTTTTTTGTTGTCGACCCGCAGGGGCTTCTTACACCAGGGTTACCGGGCGTCCACGATATTTTCTTTGTTAAACACCGTAGACGCACGGTAACCCTGGTCTGAAAAGGCCCGGCGGGCCGACAGCAAAAACAAAACACGCCCGGGGGCCGGGTGGTTGTTTGTTTTTGTGCTCGCACCCCGCTAAACCCTGGTCTGAAAAAGCCCGGTGGGGCCACAACCAACAAAAAAATGGCCGGGTGGCACTTTTTTGTTTGCGCCCCGACGCTCACTCACTCACTGCGCACCTGGGCCGCCGCACTCCTCCCGGGCCGGGTGGTTTTGTTTTTGCTCGCGCCCCGCCGAGCATATGTCGCAAGCAGGGTGGAGTGCCTGTGCTTTGCCCACATGTGCGCCCTGGCAGAATCCTTGACCATCGCAGATCTCACATCCCACAACAGAGACCACGGGGGGATGGGGCGTGTCCGGGGAGGTGTTTTGCGCGGGCTCTGCAATTTGTGTGCAGCCCGCTGCAGGTTCTCTGGGTTTTTTCAGCCAACCCTTGACCTACCCGGGGCAATGCAACCTGTGATCCAAAAACTGCTGTATGTCAGCGACACCATGCAAATGCAGAATTGGCCCAGCATGCCACTCAAAGGCACCTTGGGTTTCGGCAAAGCAGGAGGCGCTGGAGAGGGACGCCTCTTCACATAGGAGCATCATGAGCTTCTCAAGGTGCTGCATACCCAGAAATCTGGCATGCTCCAAAATTAGAAGACGGCGCTGATCCTCCGGGCTTGGGCGTCCCGATTGGTAGCAGTAGCAGAGCAGGGCAGCCTCTGGACAACGCGGAGCTCCATCGACCAAGCTAGGCCTGTGGTGCGCCCGTTAAAAATGGGCCACGCTCTGAGCCCATAAATGGGCATCGCGACTACTCACAGTGTGCCAAGTGGTGTTGCCATCCCGAAACATGGGATGCGAGCGAGCGCAGCTGGACCTCCGCTGCCGGGAACACAACCTTGGAGAAGCGGGAGGTCCCTGTGCTCGATTTCATCAGCAAGATGCCGACGATGGAGCTTCTGAAAGTGTTTAGCCGAGGCATCAGGCAGCGCAACTCGCTGCCCGTGCAGTGGCGCAGAGCTTTTTCAGGAGAGCAACCAGACGGCAACCCTTATGTTGGCCGGGCTCGGTGAGTCTGAGGTTGGCATTCCAGAAGATCGGATGCCAGGCCATCGCCGCCTCGGGAGCGGCTGACTACCAGACACATCCCGGAACTCCGGTCGGGCGAGGAGCACAGCCATCCTTGGCCAGGCATATCATTTGCTCGACATCCATGAGAGCGTTGCAAGCTCCTTGAATGGGCAAACCTCATTAGGAGGAAGCCGGCGGTGGAACTTGCAAAGTAGGCACCAACATCGAGATACTCGCCAGCTTCCTGCTTGGCAAAGTGACGCCTGTGCACCTCCTGCTGTGCTCAGCGTGCACGGCGGCAGTCGACAACTTCGCCGGCCACGTAAAGAAGTGTGATGGCAGGGCCAAAAAGCTTGGCAACATTGTTTCCTGCTGGCCTGAAGAACCTGAGCGCATTCAAAAGGTTGTGGGAGTCCTTTTCTTTAGCGGCATCCTCAAAGTCCTAGAAAACTGGCTTAAGTACTGTGCTTTGCTTCGCTCGGTAGCGCGGCGGACCCAGGGCTCTGTGCGCAGCCAGAGCCACCAACAGATACCAGCAGCATGCGTCGAGCACGTTGGAGGTTCTGAGCATGAGAAGAGGCTGCACAGGCGGAGCTATTTCCGATTCTGCTGTGTTTCCATGCCCTGGACTTTGCTAAGCTCAGTGTGCCGGCAGCAGCCGGCAGCATGCTGGAGTTGCCTCTTTGCGTTTTTTCTGGCGCAAACTAGAACCAAGCATGTTCATCGAAGTGCGCATACTGCCAAATGGAGGCATCAAGGCCTGCAACATGCTTGTGAATGTTGGTATCCCACGCTACCTGCGCTGCAGCTGAAAGGAGAGGGACAAAGTCCAGCCTGGCGTCTCGCACATCTTGAATTCTGTGGACGCGGAGCTTTGAAAAGCTGCTCTCAGGATCGCTCTGGGTATCTGTGCGGGGCCGCACCCGTCTCGAAACTTCTCCAGACACCTTGGTATTCGGGCTGTGGGATGGCTAGGTAGTCGGTCCTATAGCTGGCGCTGTTGGGGGACACCCAAGTTTTTGCACTAAGGTCTTTTTCGGTGCTGTGCAGCCACTTGCGCCCGCAGACGTTGTGGGAAGTGCAACAAGCCAAAAGTCATCACAAAAGCCCGTAAGAGCTTGCCATTTGGGGTTTCCGTGTTGTGCACATGCTCCCCGATGGCTGTACAGGCGTCTGCCCCGGAATGTGGCGCATGCGCCGAGAGTCAATACCAGGGCTCTTGAGCCGGAGTAAAAGTCTCCTCAAATCTTGGTGAAAGACCTTGATGTGGCTTGCTTTGACCTTACGTGTCGGGAGGGTGGTGGCAACCCAAATAGCACAACCACCTTGGCCCTTCTCGGCGGCGCTTCGGAACTCTGTGAAGTCTCCTCCTTGCTGGCCAGCACCAGGAAAGGAGGCAGGCGGCACGAGGTATGCATTCTCGCACTGTTTGCTTTCCTCATCTTCCAACTCTTCCTCCTCTTCCTCATCGTCCGAGTCCTCCACCGTGCCCCCCACTCCTCAGGACGTGACCTTGCCATGCATGCCAAGGGCATGAAAGTGAAGGTCATGCTGGCCAGCGTGCGGACTTTGCCCATGATTTTGGGGGCTAGGGCCGGTCGTTGGCAAGGACCTCTACTTGGCCCTTGCCGAAGCGGCACAGCAGCTGGGCTTTGGGTCATGTGGCCCAGCATTCCTTGTGCATGGGCGGTGGGCCCTCCAAGGCCTGAGCCAATGTACCCCATCCGGAACCAGAAAGGGCGTGCTGGGACCACGCGGTAGCGGCTGTTGCCAGCCGGCCGCAAAGCGTCGGCCACGGCAGGGCCAACACCAAGGTAGAGGATCTCGCCTTGCTGTAGTGCAACCACAGCGGCCCCTGCACCTTCACCACCGAGGCTAGTGCCAAAGGTGGCTGCCCCTGGAGTGAGGGACCAAGCGAAAGCAATTTCCTGCGAAGCAGACAAGGCCGCTCCGAGCTGAACGACTGCCGGATAATGGAGTGCGGCTCCTCCAACTCGATACCCGGAAGGATGTCGAACACCTCGAGCTTGCTGGCCATCGCAGATAAGCTGTAGCAAGGGAGGGGGCGGAGCAGATCAGCAGCAGCTTTGAAAGCTTTGTATGCTGGCTTGAGCCCACATGGCTACGGGCAGGGTTTAGGGCTTTAGGGTTTGGGGGCTTGTGGTTAGGGTTTAGGGGCCTAGGGTTTTGGGGTCTTGGGTTTTGGGGCTTTGCATTTTGGATTCTGTGGTTTAGGATTTAGGGTTTGGGTTCGGGAGGACCCTCTCCAAAGCCTTCTTGCTGTCCACCGGCGGCGGACCACAGAGGTTGTCATCCACGCTGGCCTAAAAGGAGCTAGGGGTTTAAGGTTTTCTTTGGTGGGTTTAGGAGTATAAGGTTTTGCAAAAGACAAAGAAGCATTCCAGGACGAGCAATGGGGTTGCTGAGAAAAGTGACGAAGAACATGCAACCACTCTTGCAATATCTTCTAAAAATGCTCCTGATGCCCCCTCTTAGTCACTGTTCTGTATTTGTGTTGCTACACATGTCAGGAAACCCCAAAACTAAACCCTGGATACGCAACCTATGAAACATAACCCTTCATAAACTCAGGGTTCTCACGGGCGCACCTGAAGAATCAGCCTGTCTTTCTCGACCAACTGTAGGGCCAGTGGTGCTTTGGCCTGTTCCGATTGCTCAGACCCTTCCGTGTTAGGTCCCAGGAGTTTTGGGGCCTCAGGTAGGGCTTCAGGGTTGCAGAAAACATGCCCCCCAACTCGAAGTAAGAATCAGAACGGCACCTTATCCTCTTCCCCTCCAACCTAAACCAAACAAAACTGAATCTGCACCCTATTCTCAACGTTAAACCCCGCATATGGGTAGTTGTCTAAACTAGGGTCCCTCTTTCAGTCCTCAAAATAGTACGGCACCCTCGTAAACTGGACCCGAAAGGGGA